CCACTTCTGGCCTATTGTAGCAGGCCCAGATGATAGGTGAGTGTGATTGTGGAGCAATTGGTGGAATGAAGATTGACAGGGAAAACCGAAGTACTCGGAGAAAACCTGCCGCAGCGCCACTTTGTCCACCACAGATCCCACTTGACCAGACCAGGTATCGAACCCGGGCTGCTGCGGTGGGAAGCCAGCGACTAACCGCTTGAGCTATGGCGCTGCCCATGCCATGACTGCTTCCTTCCGATTTATCATCCTGCTGTTCAACACTATATAATCCATGCTACTGACAGCATTGTCAGTAAAGGATATGTGACTTTCTCAGTTAATTTCAATTTAGTTAACAAGATTTTAAAGTCTGCTTTAGTGTCAGCATTTTAGCATTTATTAGAATCTGTTATTATGGTAGGAAGACAACATTCGTAGAAAGCCACCGGAGTTTGAAGGAATTCTGTTGAAAGATGCTGTGTCATGGTTGCTGTTGAAGTGTGGTACAGTTCAAGTGGAATGCAGACACAAGTGCATGGAACTGGTGTATGTATTGGCACCATTGCTGCCAGGTAAATCTTGAAATAAGACTTTAAGTGCAAGTTGAGTTCTTCACTCATCTATGAAAATGTTTTTTTCCTGTGTTTATGTTTGTCATGATCACATTGAAGGCTTCAGGTTGAGACTGAGCAGCTGTTTGACGTCTTAGTTACATATATGCAGATATTTTGGTTTATAGCCTTAATATACAGTATTTACATGGATTGTAAGGAAAGGTATTTTATTTTAATTCCAAGGCAGGAGATACATTTTATTTGCAATTGAAAACGCGTGTTAAGAAGCTTCATGTAAACAGCGTTTCTGAAAAATTATGCAGCATGAAATCAATCGTGATTTGCAAACTACTTTCTGTATTTGCATGTTTCTTTTGTATTCAGTTTGAAATCTGATTTGTGTGGGATTTTCTGCTTGAGAAGGTGGAGCAGTGAGCGACAAGATAGCCAAGCACTTTCTGCTAGAAACTGTGGGATCTCGGTGTTTCCTGATTTTGTGACAAAGGCTAAAAAATCTATAGCTTGGAGATCAGTTTTTAAGTTCTGAACCCTGAAGTGTAATAAATGGAAAGAGCATTGTGAAAAGTTAAACAATTCCATCTAGTGTGACTGGTTACTGGTGACTGGTCACACTAGATGGAACTGTTTAAATTTTCATGACATTGTTAGTATGACGGACCAGAATGAAACAAGTCAAATGGAAGGAAGATTATACAGCAGTATCACAAGGTTTATAAAACATTTAAAGTTTTATTTTATTTCCAGGTGAGAACAAGTTAGCGTAAGATTTTGTATTCTGATTCATTAATCAGAAAGAAAAAATAAATTGGTTATTAAAATTATGAATTTATTAATGATTAATTCAGTCATTGGAGTGTGATGACTTCATCATTGAATAATATATTAGTTTTGAAAAGTTCAGTATGCTCCTTTCATGTTTGGCAGCAACAAAATTTGGAGTTGAAATATTAAGAGGAGGACATCTTTGACATATTTCTTAGAAAATTATCTTGAAGAGATATTGCAAAAATTTTTTGGATATGCTAGTGACTGAAGGAAAATGAGAAAAAAGTTTTATTAATTGTAAAATACATATGTCTGTATGTGTGATCCTCTTTAGTTTGTAAATCTGGAAGTGAATTTGTGAGTTGGTATGCTGCCACTCACTCTTGGACATCCATAATCCGAATATGTGAAGGCAGTAAAGAAAGTGGAGGGATAACAGTCACTCCTACTCTGAAACATTTAAGAAACGAAGTGGCTCTTGTCTATGTGGTACGCTGGCTACGTATGGTTCTCACCAGCTTTGACTGTTATGTGTGGCTGTTTGGTGAGGAACTAGTGAAACCTTCTGTGCTGTGGGGGACTGAAGGCCTGGACAATACAAGTGAAACAAGGTACAGTACATGAATGTCATACTGTTCAGAATGGGGAATGTTTTACAGAACATCTCTTGTTTATTGTTTTTAAAGGGACAAGGTAGCATCAAGTGTATGAATATGTAAGCACAAAGAATTGGTAATATATACCCAGAAGAAGAATACAGGCACTCCTACATGCTGTAGGTATGGAAAATTATCATATAATACATAAGTAATTATGGAAGTGAAATCCTGTAATCATACTATTTGTAAAATTGATGTCAGAATTACAAGACATAGCTACTTACCTTAGAGTAGAGTGATCAGTATTATTATTAGTCCTTATCACTAAGAGTGCTATCTGTGTTACATTACATCAGTGTGTGTCAGTGCTGAGCGTTGTATTACCCCAAAATACGAGAGTTGTTTGGAAAGTAACTGCTGGTGACCTGTTAACAGAACAAACAGTGTGAAAAAGAATTTTTATTACATATAAAAAATACTTACATTCTTAAACTGCTTCTCAACATAGTCACAGCCTGAACTGAGGCACTTGTCATATCAGGGAATAAGTTTTTATATGCCTTTGTCAAGCAGTGTGCAAGGCAACACATTTTAGGAAGCATTAAAATTTCGTGAGAAAGGGCTTGTGCTTAATTGAGCCTTATCTGTGTGTATGTATGTGCATGCATACATATGTACATTATGTAACTGAAAGGTGCAGACAAACTTTTGGCACAAGTTCCACATACCAAAACAAGAAAAAATGTCCCTACCAACATGCATCCAGAAACATTTAATTTTGGAGTTGTGGCTGAAAGAGTACATTTATAATAAGCGCTCAGAATGTCCCCTACTGACATTCAATGCTTCGACAAATCTCATCATGGACCTTTGCATCCGTTGAAGGATACTCTGGTAGTTGCAGATAGTCTGACAGGCATCCATAATGCGATGAAGTGCCTCATCATTGTCAACAAGAACTGCATACATGAGGGATTTTAGGTGTCCCCACAGGTAAAAATCCAAATGATTCAAATCTGGCAAACATGGAGGCCTTGTAATAGGTTCTTCTGCATCAGTCATGATGTGTGTTATTTAGAACATCTTGCACACCACAGCTAACATATGCCAGAGCACCTTTCTGCTTGTACCACATTTATGGTCTGACTGCCAGTGTTATGTCTGTAATTGGTAACACTAGAAACACATTTGAAGAATATGCAGGAGCCAGCAGTTACTACTGTACAAGAAAGATATGAGCTGTCTGAATTGATGACAATATGATGGTATTCTCTCAGGTATGACCCACAAATTAAATGCTTCCAGACACATGTTGATATGGACATTTTTTCTTGTTTAGATATGTGGAACTCATGCCCAAAGTTTGTCTGCCCCATTCGCTTACTTCCTATATAGACCAGCACATGCATTCATATGATTCTGCACATATATGCAGTGTGTTTACATCCATACTTAGTGTTTTAATAATATGGTTGTAATGTAGATAAATAGTATAATGAAAGTAATGGATAGTACATCATATTGTTTCTTAAACCAGTCATACAGTGAAGGTTTGTTTCATTTTCATTTTAACATTCATAGTTAATTTTCTCTTTCTTTATTTGGGATATTTGTGCTGTAGGTGGAAGGAGCTGTTTCAGAAATTGCTGATGCACTTCATTACAGGCAGAACAGGATTTGTGAATTTTAACTTCCTATGCTGAATGCAAAATATATACAGTCAACTCTCAATTATCCGGGGGCGGATTAACCGGTTTGCGGCTTAACCGGGGCTACTGAGGCTTTTTTGAGGCTTATATGTTGTTTAATATTCATTCACTTTTGTTTCACATTGTGAGTTGTAACACTATTTTCGCACTAGTATGAACCGAGCTCTGCATTCTTTGGTCCCATTATGCTAACACAATGTTCTAGGGTAGGGGTGAAAGAATGCAAGGATTTGTGGAAAGTTTCAAGGACAGATACATCGCCCCAGTTAGTATCTTTGTATCGATCCTCAAGTGCGTTAGCGAAATATCAGGGTGTAAAAGGAAGCATGTTGTGTTAAGTATTCAACAGAAAAAGGAAAATGCCGCGAAAAAGTAAACAACAATATTAATTTTTTTTTATGTGTTAAGTGTGAATATTCGTAAAAAATGTTGGATGTTGTTGAAGACTGTGATTGAAATAACTAATTCATATTTCAGTGTAATGTAAAAAAAGTATTAAATAGGCCATGAGATGACATAAAAATGAGGTTGAATAAATTTAAATACAGGTAGGCCTATAGTATTATGAAGGTACAGTATTACAATACTACTTTTCATAAAATTTGTCTTAACCGGGTTTTCGATTAATCGTGATTTCCATCCCCACCATTATCCTGGATAATTGAGAGTTGACTGCATATATATATATATATATATATATATATATAATGGCACATGTTGTCGTTCTATGTTTTCTCCAACACATGCTTGTTTATAGTTTGCCTCAAACAGGAAGACAAGCTACATTATTTTTATAGAAAAGCAGATTGATGTGTCATGCCCAGTACATGATTACTCACTCCTTCCATTTCCAGACAGTGTGTTTATATATTATTCTTATGATGCAGGATATTTGAAGCTGCAGTATATTTCATACAGCACGTGTGTCACCGTGATGCAAGTTCTGTAACTTGCTTGTTGAGCACTGACACTAAAGATGTCCTTGAAATTACTCCTTGGGAAGCAGAGAGTTTTGACAGAACTAAGTGCTTCGTCACTATCCGCCTGCTGGACATGATATCTACTGTTCTGAAAAGTGGTGAAGCAGGTTGTTTACCCCACTCTCTGCTGAATCTGCAGTTGTGGCAGCTGATTGTAGCATGTGTGCTGCATCCAGGCAGTCTTGGCTTTGATTTATATAACACCGAGGTTACGGATGGTCTTCCAAAGAATTTAATACAGCTATTAGGAGTATTACAAGAAACACTGCCATCTTCGCAATTGGAAGAATTGAATTCAGAACTTGGGAAAGCTGTAAGCAGTATGCAAACTGATGTGCTAAGTAATCTACAAGACTCGTTGAGAAATGATAAGGTTACGCTTGAACAGAGGCAGCTTCTCAAGGGATTAGAGATTCTTCATAAATGTGGCATGCTCAGTCATATTGTAAAGGTATGATAAGTGCCACTGTGCCATAAATACACAAATACACTGTATTTTTAAATTGGTATTCTGTTCAACAATGCCCATTTTTAATGTATAAATATATTAAACAGCAGATTTATTTGAAATCAAGTTATTATATCTTTTTGTACTTCTTCCACCACCAGCAATAGAGTTAAGCTTTGTGATGCTCTCTACTTTTGATGTTAGACACCTACCTTTATTTTCATATGAGACCGGATGTTTTAGTTCATTTTATGGTTTCCATTGTTTCAACTAGGGCTTCTGCCAGACAATGTAGTGTGGTACCGAATTTATCCAAGTCTGGTGTAAGGCTTTTCCTGTAGTATATTAAAGTCATACTAAAATTCATAAGGGGCACACAGTAGTGTAGTTTGTTGAGGCACTATGCTACAGGCTGGGAGGTCGCGGGTTCAAGTTGCGATGAGGTCATTGGATTTTTTCAGTTGATCTAATCCTTCCAGCTGTACTATGGCCCTGGGGTCTACTTAGCCTCTAACAGAAATGAGTACCAGGAATATTCTTGGAATGTTCTTGGGGGTAAAGGGCGGTCGGCACGTAGGGCTCACGCCCTTGCCACCATCTATGAGCCGATTATCTAGAAAATGTGGAAACCTCAACATCTCAGCCCTATGGGCCTCCATAGCCTGTTATAGGGATACCTTTACTTTACTAAATTCATAAGTAAGGAAATCTTTAAACTGAATGGAATGCACATACCTAGTTATAAACCAAGATAAGAAGTTCTGTGATGAAAATCCAGTAGAAAAATACATAATTAAATAATAGAATTTTGAATGGACTTGATTTTCCTTTTCATGACTACCAGGAACTGCCAAACCAGTATGGACTTGATGGCAATCAGATTGTAAAGCACTTGTTTTCTGCATTGGTTGAAGGCCAAGGTGACATGAAGCGGACTGTTGTGCTGCAGCCAGCAGCCTTCTCTTATGCAGAATCTCTTCTCAAGTTTGCATTTTTACTTAATAAAGAGGTATGATCAAGTCATTTCAAGACAAAATGTTGGTATATTTGTAAAATAGTTCTACATTCTAACTATAGAGCACTATGTAAGATTTGAGGCTTTCACGGCAGTGACTATGGAGAAAACAGTCTTCTGGGATTTGGCACCTTGTATATATGGTGTTAGCCGACGTTTCGGAGGAACGTATCACCTCCATCTTGAGGGTAGAAGGAAAAATATAAGAAATCCGCAAGCGAAGAGACCGTGAGAACCGGTAAAAGCAGACTGCAGACTGCAGACCAGTCTGCCAAATCCCAGAAGACTGCTTTCTTCTTATAGAGCACTAATTTTTACAATTCATGTTGTTAACCAAGTAAATAAAGAATTCACTGAAATGGCAGTATTAATTTAACTGTAAGCTAATTTTATATTCCTTTAGGACACCTTAATTTCAAAACTGATGAATAGAGACTGTACAGAAATGTTGCAGCACATTGGTGCTCTGCATTACATACCTTATTACACTCTACATATGATTGCCAAAGCTTTAAAACTTAGAAAGATTATGAAGAAAGTCGTCTTCTGGGTTTAGGCGCCGTGTATTCTTCATTTTNCATTTTTGTGTCAAACTTGGAAAAATCTGTGTGGAATCATGTAAGATGTATGCTGAAAGTAGCCCATGATAATGATATTGTGACCTTCGAAGTGTTGTGGTTTGAAATGGTTCGTGTGGCCATGCTGCCCTCATACACTAGTGATAACTGATGACTTACAGAAGACTGACATTACCTGACTGAGTAATGTTGAATGGCTGGGTGCTGATAAAGACTAATGTTTTTTTTAATAATGTAAGATGAGTGAGTCTAATAATCCTGTGGTAAATTGGCAGTGAAAGTACTAAATCAGTGGATAAACTAATTATAATATTTATATGTACATAATATGAATGATGTAAGAAGTTCAAAGAAGATGCTGAATAACAAAAATTGAATGTGATTTCTGCTTTGTAGTTAAGTGTGTTAGTATATTTCATCATAATTTATGGTGGAATTGTTTTACATGTACAGTATCAAGACAACAGGTTCACTTAAATTTTAAATTTGTACTTTAACCAGATACTCAAGTGCATGGAGAACAGTTCAAATTTTAAACATGTTTTCCCCTTCCAGAGTGTAATCTGTGTTATCATTTGGCTCACATTTTGATATTTGATTCAAAGATTTTTCACAATTTGAAAAGACAGGATTGTTACTGCAGCAGGTAACAAGGAAATTAATTTGTATTTAAATAAAATTGTTTTTGGAATAAAAGTCATTGGTCCTGAAAAATTAAAGGTAAAAATAATGCTCAGCATATTTCTAGTTTGAATGTGGTTTCAAAATAATTTTCATTTAACCTAGAAACTGTCACAGCCTCTCAGGTATTTATGCTGCCAGTGACTCATTTGTGGAAGGTCAAAAGGGCTTTCAGGAATTCAGTTTTGTGTGGATATGAGGCAAGGCAATTATGACCAATAGGTATTCAGAATTCTGAAAAATCATATTTCATGCATAATTTGTTTCACTCTGCAGTTATGAGCATGTTTGGTATGAATATTTTTAACAAATATTCCAGTAATGTTTTGCATTTGGAGCAATCAGTTGCTAATGTATGAGTAATTAAATCCCACTCATATTTAACAATGTGTGTTCTGTTTATTAATGTACAGGTAACTACTGTAATATGCTGTATAAAGGAGCAGGCCAGCATCCAGAACCCTGCTACTCATTCATCTGTACTACATGGTGACTATTTCTTTGTCACATTTCGCTCTGCCATTCTGGAACACATGTTGGCATGTTTTGAACATTCTGTTAGTTGCCTTATAAAAGACATCAGTGCAAATAATGTGCAATGGGTAATAAGCACTGTGACAGAAATATTACAATACTATGCCAAAATCAGAAAGAGTAAACATCAAGACAGGTGAGTTTCTTGTATCACACAGTTTACTTCAGACACCAATACATGCCACTGTTTAAGGTTACCCTAGAATATTATTGTGCCCTAATCCTAAATGGGGAAAATGCAAGGAGATTCTGAACTGGAACCGTGAGCATTTTGCCTACAGTCCAAAGCCTGTAATTTAGGCACTTTAATTTGAGATTTAAAATAAATTTCCTATACAGTTTTCACTACCTTAACCACTATGCTGAACAAAGCAATCATATAAGATGTAAATGAGTACATTAAAGATTAAAAACAAAAACTATGAAAAATAACGTTGTAAAAATATTTCACCAAAATATACGTGGTTTAAGAAATAAGTATAATGAAATATTGTGTCATTTAGAAGAGTATTTTTTTTCTTTGGCGCTACAGCCCTCATTTGGGCCTAGGCCTACCTCCATGAAACTCTCTGTTTCACTTTGGTTTACTAGATCTTACACATATGGTAGGACTCCTTGGGCGAGTGATCAGCTCGTCGCAAGGCATCTACCTGTAGACAAACACAGAAAAACGCACACAAACATCCATGCCCTGAGTGGAATTCGAACCCACGATCTCGGCTTCCGAGCGAGCGAAGACAGTGCATGCCTTAGACCGCTCGGCTACCATGACTGGCATTTAGAAGAGTATACACCTCAAGTACTCTATTTCACCGAACATCATCTTGGTAGTGATGAAATAGTTCATATTAATTTGGCCAATTATACTTTAGGTGCATATTATAGTAGGATAAATTTCAAATGATATACTCAAAGCCTGTAAAATCTTTATTAGTGAACCTATAAGTTACTTATGTAGCAGAGCTATGCATGAGGGTATTTTCCCAGACAGATTAAAATATGCTACAATTGTACCAATATACAAAAAGGTGATAAAAACTTAGAATCAAATTACAGACCTATATCCATATTGACGTCTAGTGGTAAGATATTTGAGAAGGTAGATTGTAGATTGTTAAAACTTTGAATGATAATAGTATATTAAGCAAATACCAGTTTGGATTTAGAGAAAATCAAGGAACTGAAAATACAATTTATAGACTTATCTCTGGAATACTAGACTCATAAAATAAAAAAATGCAAGTCTGTGGGATTTTCTGTGACTTAGAAAAGGCTGTTGATTGTGTTAGCCATGATATTGTGATGTATTGCGCTATGGATGACGCCCCTCCCTCCCCACCAGCCGTGACGTGCTGAGCGGAGCCGAAGTGAGCCGAGTCCAACAGCGGTTGCTAGGCAAAGCGAGTAATCAGCGGTACCCATTATGTAACACAGGACGCCTCAGTTCTCCCATAAAACTCGAGATGTAAAAGTAAAATTAAATTACTTGCATATGGTTTTAGTAATGGCATATGACTGTTAACTGCATCACAGATGATGAATGTTACATCAGCACTTCACTAAATATTTAACATTGAATAATAAACTCGTCATTTTAATGATTGTACCTATTGTCTAGAAAATAACTTATGTATCTTTAAATAGCCTTGTGTGTAGTCACTGTATATTCTTGGTTTCTCTTGTGTGAGAACTCCATTGGGACTGTACATATGTTTTGTATTTATATGACATATTCCACATCCTACAGTCATTTCGACTAACTTTGGATCCATGGAATGCAATGCAATGTAATGTATGTAAATGGATTATAATAAATGGCAGTCATACCAAGGAATGACCTGCTAGGATAGGAATAGGATACTATCCCTGCAGTAAGTGTCTGTGAGTCTGGGTTTCAGGATGTGACAGGATCCAGTACAGGTTCTTCCGCCTCATTTGTGAGAAAGTCTGACATTTACAAAGAACAGGACTACATTGCAGTTCAGACCACATGTTCAACTGTGGGTCAGATACCACTTTGTTAGCATCACTGCTGTCAGGAGCAAAGGAATTTGCTGACTGGCTGTTTCTATTTACTGCATTCCAAAACTGTGATAGCCTGCCAGAGTTAAGTAAATGTAACTGAATCCCTCCACCACTGGGAAACAATACTATTATACAGAAACAGGATAAATTTGTTTTAAAGATACCATTGAGAGAATTTTTTTAATTTTGAAAGAATGTTTGGTTCTATATAAATACAAATAAATCCTGGTTATGTACAATGATTGTTCTTTATTTTTTCAGCACTACATTATGTGCATTTGAGAGGAGCATAGTGAACCACTGGAACAAACTAAGCAGTTTTGTTGAAGGTAATTCAGAACAAGTATATCAGCTTCTGGGTCTTGTGGTTAATTTGGCAAGAATTATGCCACAACCAGACAGAGGACTTGCTAGGTGTGAGGCCCTTCAGAAGTGGGTTATAACACAACTCACTTCACGGGATTTACAGCTTCACTACAAGAGCAGAGCTCTGGATCTTTTGGTATGTCTTGCAGGCCCACAGGAGGATACCAATCAAGAGCTAAGGTAATAGCAGTTCTTGAATTGAAGACAGTTTATAATTGTGTGTGAGTGTTTTAAAGATGCAGCAGCAGCTGTGGCTATTTGTACCTGGATAAGAGTCAAGTTAATCATTTTTGCTGAACCCAGTATTTAATAGAACTAAATTAAACTTTTGTTAGACTACATGATGTCCTGACTAAGGCATATAAAGGTCTAGAAAGTAATTAAGATAAAAGTTTGATTATGAACAGAGTGTAAAGCATACTGTGTCGGAGGGCAGCAAGGTCTTCAAACACAGTGTGTACAAAATTACTGCTGGTGTTATAAACCTTAATATCTGCTTGTTATGTATACAGTTTGGCAAATTGTTTTCTTATCCATGTTCTTTCTCTTAAAGTTTGGATACTGTGTTCCCCATTCTGAAACAAAGCACACTTCTGGTTCTTTCTTCTTTACATAGGTCTTAGCAGGCACGCGATAGCGTGGTTGGTTGAGGCACTATGCTACAAGCCAGAAGGTCGTGGGTTCAAGTTCCGATGAGGTCATTGGATTTTTTTCAATTGACCTAATCCTTCCGGCCGCACTATGGCCCTGGGGTCGACTCAGCCTCTCACAGAAATGAATACCAGGAATTAATTAAATAATTTTCCTGGGGAGTAAAGCGCAGCTAGTGCATAAGGCTGACAAACTTACTGTCATCTTTGAGCCAATTGTCTAGATAATGTGGGGCCCTCAACATCTCACAACCCTATGGGCCTTCACGGCCTGTTACAGGGATAGCTTTAGTTTTTTTTCATAGGCCTTAGCAAGCTTCTCTGTCCTCAGGGTCCATATTCCAGTACTGCTCTAGGCAGACAATCTGCTATCATCTATTGGTCATGTTCCTAATGTTGCAAACTACTTGAGATCATTCTTTGTAGCACATTACACTACCGTATAAAATAATCTTATAACAGTGCCTGGATTATGTGCTTTTGGTATCCAGGAATAAGAATACTCAGTTGGCTCAAATTCCACAAATGGTATAGTAACCATTCTGATGAATACTGTAGCTGATACTTTGAGTGTTAGAAATGAAGTCCGCTTAAGAATGATTATTGAGTTAATTTATGAAACTCTGCATTTGCATTCATTAGATAAAACTGAGATGAGGTTACTGCTTCTTTGTAGAGGCTTAAAAGCTTGTGGAAGACTTCTGTTGGTAATGAAATCTTGAAATGCTCTCATCTGATTTCATTTCAACTATTGAAGTCTGCTACACAGATATCTTACAGAACATTATCAGGCTAGGTTTCATGGTATATGACTTTGATGCAGTTAGGCAAGTTATTCTTGTCTTTGAAGCTATCCTTGTAACAGGCTGTGGAGGCCTATGGGGTTGTGAGACATTGAGGCTCCCACAGTTTCTAGACAGTCAGCTAATAGATGGCAGTGAGGTTGTCAGCCTTATGCACCAGTTGCCCTTTACCCACAGGAAGATTCCTGGTACTCTTTTCTGTTAGAGGCTGAGTTGACCCCAGAGCCATAGTGTAGCTGGACCCAATAACCTCATTGGAATCGAACCCACAACCTTCCAGCTTGTGGCATAGTGCCTCAATCAACTATACTATCACATGCCCCCTATTCCTGTCTTTACTCAATCTTTTCTCAGTTGATGTTTGTAAGATTTAATGAAACCATCAGGGTTCATGGTGTAATATGACGTTTCATTACATTTGAGTGGTCTGTGCCTTTAGAATACAGCTTTTATTCTACATCTGAGTCCTGAGTTTTTAAAAATACATGCCTGTCTTTTTATAACCTAAGACGTGAATTATTTTCAAAATTTCACTCCTTTTATTCAAAATAGTCTCCTTCTGAATCAATACATAGCTGGAATCAATTGAAAAGTTTTCAAAAACAGTCACTGTACTCCTTTTGTGGAATCGCATTTAAAACTGCAGTAGATTCCCTTTGGATGTCCTGGATGGTGTCGTGATGGTCTCCTTTCATTGCCAACGTAACTTTTGGGAAAAACCAGAAATCTGCTGGAGCCAAATCTGGCAAATACGGAGGATTATGAAGGATTGTGATCCCTTTCTGGCCAAAAAATTGTGCATAATCTTCGATTTGTGGGGTGGGGCGTTGTCATGGAGGAGCGACCAGGAACCTTGCTCTTGATATTCAGGTCGAATTCGAAGAATTCTCGCCCACCAACACTTGAGGACTCTGAGATAATAATCAGAATTCACTGTTTGACCTACTGGCAGAAATTCTTTGTGAATGATTCCTTTGGAATCGAAGAAAATGGTTAGCAGTGTCCTTACTCGACTCTTTTGCATGCACACTTTCTTTGGTTTTGACTTCTTTGGGCTCAACGCTCAACCATGCTGCACTCTGCCGCTTTGTGAGAGGCTCATATTGAAAACACCATGTCTCGTCACCAGTAACAATCAATTTTGTGTCACTTTGGGCCGACCATAACATGTCTTTGCAGTGTTCCACTCTGGCATGTTTTTCATCACCTGACAGCGTGTGTGGTACAAACTATGCACAGACCTTCCGTTTGTCCAAATTCTTGGTCAAAATTTGATGCACAGTACTTTTTGGTATTCCCAAAAGCTTCTTGATGAGTCTTGCAGAAACACATCTGTCTGATGCTAGGATTTCGGTCATTTTTTCACATTTTCTTCAGTGCGACTTGTTCTCGNCTTGGCTTTGATGCACGTGGAGCATCTTCAGTGCCCTCCCTGCTGTCACGAAATACAGCATACCATCGAAAAATGTTTGAGCAACTCGAACAGTCATTACCGTACACACTTTTCATCATTTTGTACGCTTCTCCGGCTGTTTTGCTTAACTTCAAACAAAATTTGATGTTGGCTCTCTGTTCAACAGTCACTTTCCAACGAGCGTCAGAACAGTACTGTTACATTCAAGGTCAGAACACATGATACAGCGATGCTTGCGCTTTGAAATTATAGACAGCCACTGCTGAAACTTCAAGAATCTTAATGCCACAACTCACCAACAGATGGCATTGCAAGGCAANAAAAAAAAAAAAAAAGAGTCCTAATGGATCCTGGACACACCGTGTATGTTACAAATTCATATGTTGCATTTGAACTTCCAGCAATGATGCTGGTAACTTGTGGAGAACATACCAATAAATTCAGTAAAGTTCTGCAGGGGTTATATTCTTCATCAGTCCATTATCCATGATTGTTTCATTTAAAGATCTCTGGGATGTATCTGATAAAGGTGATTTGAAATGCTAGACCAAAGCATTGTGATTGTTCCAAAATGGTGAATCAGACCTGGAAACAAACAATTATGCACTCAGAATTTGACCAATCTTTAATGGCTTAATTTCTACATGTTATACAACTTTGGATCTATGCTGCATCGGACTTTTCCAGGCGTTTTCCTTTCCAGAGAAATTAAAAGTCCCAAGTCCTTAGCTCCCTCAAGGGCTCACACTGTCAAGTGCTTACCTGTGGGTCTTTCAGGAAGAAATAATAGTAACTCTATATTAAGAAATCTGCAGGACCTCTAGTATGATGAACAGTTTGTTTTAACTTAACTGTAACTGATAATATCCTTACTAGTAGCAAATGTTTTTGTTATATCTTTCTTCAGTTTCTATTCTTTGAGGTGCTTTTTGCTGGTAAGTGCTCCATTTACCTCATACATAATTTTTCATACTACTTTATTTCTTTGTTCCTTCAGTTTCACTTTCTGTAATTTGTGTTCAAATCTTTTTTATCATCAAGAAATTTGATCCTTTAAGTTGAGTTTCAAAATTAACATTACAAGGTTCTTAATAAATTGAGTATTATTTTCTTTGTAGGTCTGCTTTGCAAACATTGAGAGAACAGCATTTTCCTCAGCTGTCAACTGAGCTCCACTCAGGGAGTGTAGGTTATTCTGGTTTTGTGAATGCATTCCGTAAGATCTTACGAGGACTGGAAGAGTCGGGAAGTTGTGTGATATTGCTTAGTGTGGTAGCCATGGCAGCCAGTGAGTCACAACATGTGCTTGAAGACCAAATACAGAAGAGTTTACAGATATTCATAAAAAGGTATTATCCAGTTATTTCAATTAATTATCATTTCAATTTAAGGAATATGAATTTTAATGTCCATACAAATGTCAGTCAGGTGGTATTTCAGAGACACATATCACCTTCATCTTCAGGGTCAGAGAGTAAATCAAGCGACAGACCAGTACGAAGCAGGCAGGAAACAGAGCAAACTGCTTGTAAAAGAGCACATTATTATGTAGGCTAGGCGGGAACTTGCAGGTCAACAGGTCCACTCTCTTTGGTTCTCTGAGATACAGAATAAATCAGTGGGAAACACTTACTACTCTGGGCTCTGCAAGTGGCCAGTTGTGCCACACAAGTGTATGTGTTGGGCAGGATAATAACGAGAATAGCAGACAGGAAGCCAGGGTGAAAAGAAAGGCTCAGGGTTGATGAGTGCCAAGAGGACAGATTCTCTGCTCTGATAAGGACACTGTGGCTGGCTTGAGAACCTGTCTTGAGACTCCTGTGATGGTGGCTTCCTACAATCTTGCAGGGAACAACTGAAAGTTTTTCATACACAGAAGCAATCCTATCTGTTCACATTATTGGGATGGAGCTGTATCTCAATCACCTCCCTGATGATGTGATCCATATATCTAGAGCTGGTGATTTGTTCTGCTTGCTGGCTGCTTCTTATTGGTTTCTTGTTTGGCTTACTGTTCAGCCCTGAATGTGGAGGTACTATATTCCTCTGAAATATTGGTTGACATATGCCAGACTACACAGCATTATATGGGGGCACGCGGTAGCATAATGGGTTGAGGCACTATGCTACAAGCTGGAAGGTAGCGGATTCGAGTTCCAGTGAGGTGGATTTTTTTCCATTACCTAATCCTTCCAGAAACGAGTACCAGGAATCTTCTCTGGGTGTAAAGAGCAGCCAGTGTGTAAGGCTGACAACTTTACCACCATCTGTGAACCGATTGTCTTGAGAAAATGTGGGAGCTTTGATGTCTCACAACCCTGTGGGCCTTCATGGCCTGTTACAGGGATAGCTTTACCTTATCTTTTTACACAGCATTATATCCCAGGAGACAGACCTCTTCATAACCATCACTGTGAGAACCTTGAATCCATCACTGTACCCTCAGTTCCCAAGGATTTTCTTTTCATTTATTTTGCAGTAAAGTGAGGGTGATTAATGAAAATATCATTCTTTGAAGGTCATTGTTTATTTCAAGGTCTATAAATATATATATTTACTACTTTTAGTGGTACCATTTGATTGAATAATATAATAGACATAAGGGTGAAGTTTGCCACTGTTTATAAAGAAGGCGAATTTATCCAACCTTTTGAAGAATTTCTGTCCTGAATTCTTGAGATTCTTTCAGTCTTTCTTTTCAAAAACATTTTTTTGCATCCGATTCCTTGAACTATACTAAGTGGTGATATTTGTATTTCCATATGAAGAGTTTGGGCAGTTACTGTGGTAATTTCTGGAGGGCTGTCTCACAGTGGCTCAAACATCATACATTTAATGCACCTTGATTTATGGTTTTCCTTCATTTAACATTTAATTTCAGTGACAGCAAATCAATAATCTCAGTGTTTAGTTTCTTCTACTTAAAGATTTCATCAGTTGTGTTCATTTCACTGCTTCCCAAAGAATCTTTAAATCATTGGATTCAAGGGGCAAGAGAAATACATAAATTTGGATAAAAAGTCTGCCAGCCTTCAGAATGTGTGGTTTTAATAGTTATTCTTTTTAGAGTGGGTAGCAGAGATAGGTAGTTCAGAAGTATGTGTGAAGGATAATATAATAAATAATTCCTTCTGCATATAAGGCTAGCATGCTTATGTCTTGGGTTTATAATGATATTTCATATTCTAGAATTTGTTTTATTTATCGCTTTGTACAGTACATGGATCTATACATCCATTCCGCCATATGCCTTCATGGCATAGTGCTTAATTAGTTAAGCACAGTTAAGCACCTAGTACAGATATCTGAATTTCACATTAGTCTGCATGATACATGTTTTGTGCCTGGTCTATGGCTTGTGGTATATAAGAGACCTATCATTATATATGACTTTTTTCCAAATTATTGGTTCCCATACTTCTGTTCTATCACACTGAGCTTTAATGTTACAGAATAAAATATGAGATTGGTTTCAGGTTGGAAGACAAACAACAGGTGAAGGCAATTGAAGCTGTTTTTAAAGTATTTGTTGATGATCAGTATGATCCAAGTGTTCGTTTGGGCTGTGCCCAAAGATTTGTTCGACCTCTCTTACAAGGCTGCAGAAGAAGTGCTGCTCGTGAATTCTACAGGCATTGCATACAAGACCTGCAGGGTATGCTTAATGTTACGTTGGACTGCCGTGGTCAGTTACAAACAGAGCATCAACTGGTTGGAAGAATAGGTGCCTGGAATATACTTGAACCATTATTTGTGCATTTGGAAAGCAGTGAGCTAGAGAGTAAGGAATGTGTCATTACAGCAGCAGCTTTCCCTGGTGCTGTCAAAACTGGCAAGGAGCTTATATCGGACCTCACATCCAGGTACAGAGAAAAGTATGTGTGGTATTGTCTGAAGGCAAATGCAATGAAACCTCTGAACTTTAAAGTTTGTAGGGTTTGTTGAGATACAGTACAGTGCATTTATATATTCTGTATTCTCTGTATAAGGAATTCATACATAACTGAGACCAGAAATTTGAATCTCTTGCTCCGTGAAGTCTTTATTGCATCTGTCATTAAATGTGTATGAAAGACAAGACCAACATGAATGCAACTCTTACTGCTTGTGAAGAACAAACTGATTTACTGAACTTATTACTGAAATAAATTATGTCTAGCAGTAAGGAGTCATGAAAAGTGTTAATGATTTATTTCAGTTTATAATTGCAATGAACTGGGTTACCTGGTATTCAGACATACATGGTTCTCTTCCAAATGTTTCAAAGAAACTTCACAATTTTCATTAAGTTATTTAAAAAACAAATTTTCTATGTGTGTTCACCCATCATGCAGTTGTTTTTCCAGCTGCTATTAGCAGAATTACCTGTCATCCTTCCTGACACAGGCAGTATTACAGTAGAGACTAGGTGAATTTATGATTGTATAGCAGAATATGTACCCAGAATCTTTCACCTATCAATCTGTTATGATGTCTAGGAAGATTCCAAAGAATTTAAGCAAAACATATTGTTTTTACTTTGTATTGGGTTCCTGTAAGAGTTTTTCTCATGCAGCCAGCAGATTCATCTAACCAAATTTCCCGTATGTGCTGGATAGTCAGGGGTTTACTGTAATCTAATTCTCTCCTCACTGACACTTAATTCCCACCCATCTCGAATATCTTATTTTATTTTCTTTGTATTTAAGTTAGAGTAACATTCTTACATCAGTAGCCTTGAAAGTGTATTATATGGTGACGAATCTTAATGCAGCATGGTACTAATTATTGTGCTGATTTATTCATTATAGAGCTTACAAATACCGCAGTGAAACTCTGCATGATAATCTGACAGGAAACGTACAGTTGGTTGAGTTATTCCGACAGTCTCAGTGTGCTGCATTTAATACTCTGGTTGCCATAATCAGCAATGTCAAGTGTGAACTCAGGTTTTTCACTGGACTTCTGTTCAGTGAGAACAAGGCGAAGGAGGTATTGTCATTTTTTACACCAACTCAATTCTGAGAATGTGTTTTATGTTATTCTGTATGCTGTAGTGATCAAGTATATTTGATTTTGATTGAGTGATCTGTCCTTTACAGTCTGAGTATGCATTGAATTTAATCTATAATTAACTAACTAACTCACTGGGGCCAAATTCTTCTTGAGAAGCCAACAGTCACTTTCCTATTCAGGAATTTTGGAACATTTTATGGAACGTGAAGGTTCATTACCCTGTTAACAAGAGTTCACCATTCTCATAGGTTTAAAGTTGGTATTGCCTGTGTATTTTATGGTTTGGGCATTGTTATCATGTTGTAGTAGGACTCTGATATATTATGTTAGGTGACAAAATGTTTACAGTGTGGTTCTTGGAAAGGAAATGGAAGAAACTTTGTTTATATTGGTGAAATTTTTCAGTGAGGGGTTTATAACAGGCTTTTGTTCAATCATTCCTGTGGATTCCTACTGTGATGTGTATGAGCTCTTTTCTTTCTATAATTGATTGACTGATTAACAAAAAATATGGGTTGGATTAATTAATATACATAGTGAACACAAGAGGAGAGAAGAAATTACTGTATGAAATGTATTACATTAGGTGCCATGGGGAAAACTGGTGAACTGCAACAAGGAGTATGCCTTGGCGCTAGACTGGGAAGAGATTCCAGCACGCAGGAAACAGCTAGTGAGCATTCGTTGCCAGGCCCGTGCTCAGAGAAGGGAAACTCTTGGTTTTGCATCACAGTCAGTCCGTTATATCCCAAGTGCATCACAGTACCTATTCGACAGTACACTTAATGAAGATGTCACACTGTTTGACTTCAGTACGTCTGTGGTTAGCACAGAAGCTAGGCCAGGACATGATGAAAAGACACCAAAAGAGGTAAGAAGGGATTTTGTTTTCATTACAAGTGGAGTGAAAATTAATCTTGCAAAAATGAAAGTTGTTAGTTCGAAGTTTTCACAAAAAAAAAAAGAGAGTTCAAGAACTTTTTATAAAATTCTTTGTGAGTTAGAATGATGAAACATTGTTGCTGCTGTAATTAATCCATTGGTCAAGAGTCGTATACTTTTCACCAGTCTCCATTTATATTTCCACTAGGGTAGATTGTTTTTGATGAAGCCTCTTTCATTCTTATCCAATGAGCAGTTGTATTTGTGTCCATTCTTTCCTTTATTATGGATAATTTTTTATGCTTTTCTCTGCATATAATCCTTTAACTTCTCAGAAATCTTTTATTTGACATTTTCATTTTTTGATGGTCTTAGAGGATTCTACTGGCATCGATGTGTACCACATGTTTGTGCCATAGTATCCTTGATTTTGCCACCATTTTTGTAATCCTTTTACTGTACAGATGTTGCATAAAGTTCTGCATTTGGAGTTTAACCCTTGTTCAGTACTTAATATTCTGTAGATACTATTATGTGTACTCTGCTTATATCTTACACTTTTCTGTTTCATATGTCACAATAGGCACATACTATGTCTTATGTAACATAATCTTAATCATTTGTGATATATCCAAATTCAAAATGAAGTATGACTCTTAAAATTTCCCGGATCTTCAAACATTATGTTTTACTTTGTTTTGTATTTTTCCATTTGATGAAACTACTACCCGTATAAGAAACAATTTTAAACTTTCTCCAAGAGTTGTTGTTATGAGACTAAGGTGAGAGACTAGCTGTGCCAAGGGACCCAATGAAGGATTCTTTAGTTTATGGTATCAAAAATATGTAGGAGAAACTGGTATTTACAGAAATTAAGACTAAATGGTTAATACAATTAAAATAGGTCATGAATGTTAATAGTAGATCCAGTAGAATAGAATCAATTAAAATAGGATCAAAGTCTTGTTGGGTAGATAGAAAAATGAAATGACAGCTTTCAGTTCTGTTGTCAGTTATGTGGAAATTTACTGACTGTTGTAATGTTAATCTCCCCTGCAGTCGGGTGCAGAGAGCACTGAGGTGATCTTGGAGTCAGATGATCTCAACATGCATGAATGCATGGCTACTCTGTGTGGTGTGATTGAGCACATGGTGGATCAGGGAATCTCTCCAACACCTGATGCAGAAACAAAAGATGCAGCACTTCCTCCTTGGATGGAAAGTATGCGGAAATGCCTCAGTGATTACAGCCAACCTCGCAATATCAGACTTTTTCTACTGAAAATTATTCTAAATGTGGAATCTAAATTCCATCCATACGCACATCATTGGATGAACTCTATTTTGAAGGTAAGGCATACAGAAACTCTCACTTAAGGAACATCATTCTAGTAATCTTTCCATAAGCTGTCCCTGTAACAGGCTGTGAAGGGCCATAGGGGTGTGAGATGTTGAGGCTCCCACATTTTCTAGACAATCAGCTCATAGATGGTGGCAAGGTTGTCAGCCTTCTGCGCTGTCTGCCCTTTACCCCCCAGGAAGATTCCTGGTACTTATTTCTGTTAGAGGCTGAGTCAACCCCAGGGCCATAGTGCAGCTGGAAGGATTAGGTGAATTGAAAAATTAAATCACCTCATCGGATGCGATCCTGTGACCTCCTGGCTTGTAGCATAATGCCTCAACTAACTATGCTACTGCTTGCTCCAGTAATCTTTCCATTGCTATACATATTTCAAAAATGTTTATGAAATTAGTTTTTTGCAGCAATCTAGAGAGCTTTTTGTGTAGTATGAACATCAATACAGAAGACTTTATAGCAAATATGATAATTCTGTGAGTTGGCTATGCTGTTATAAACCTTTGTTTCAGTTTCATGTTTGCTGTCTGACTACATTAACTTTATTCAGCAAAGGGAGGTAAAGAGCACTGCAGCTTGGCCTTACTGGTATTAAATTGGTTGCACATAAGTGCTTATAAATGAGAGAACACTGACTTTAGGAACTACTAAAGTGATCTTTTCATTTCGCCACTAGAAAATCACCATCAATTCACATATATTCTGCATTGGGTGTTAGTATTTTTCAGCAATGCTAGTGAACCCAGGGGCAGCTATACCTGATGCTTATGTATAGGACATGTTCCACGTAGCAATTGCGGATTTGCAATTGGTTAGTGATACTTTTTAGCAAGTTTAAAATCTGACTGCAGAAATCACAGTTAGTGGGGTGACCATCACTAAAGAAACACTTGTTGCAGGTAATTTAATTTTCTTTCTGCAGATGTTATTGTATGCACAGGTATCACATATTGAATATGTTTGTATGTGAATAAAATATATGCTTTGTTGTGAAATCAGAACTAGTGTTGTAAGTGCAGTATGTCAATAAATACAGTACTGCACTTTTTTATGACTGTATAACCAGTGACTGAATGTTCTTACCTGTATGGAAACTGTACTTCTTGTGTGCAGGCAATAACTGATGGAGTTGTAGGCAGGGCTCCCAATTACTTGCTGTCAGATACTGTGGCAATGTTGGCAGATTGGTGTAGAAAAACAACATCCTTACCTGCAAAAAGTGATCATCATCTAGTAAGCCAATTACTGTATTTGCTGATAAGTAAGGTGCATCATGATCGCAGGGATGTGTTCAAACACAATTTGGAGCTTATCCGCACTGTAGTTGAATTGTGGAAACCAAATTTTGATATACCTGTTCAGCTGCTTTATGACATGATTATGGTGAGTACAGTATTTGAACATTTATCTGGGGTTCTGGTAGTTGCTTATTAACTAGGTAGCTATAGTTATTACCATTTAATTTATTTATAAATATTCTGCTTTTTGGCTTTGGTGCATTCACAATGAAATTAAAAAAAGAAAATATATCTATTAACTTTGCCATGTCTGTCTCCATGTGAAAACTTATGATCTGTTGAACAGATTTTCAGAATATTTTATGTGGGGTAGTTTGGCAACTTCTTCCAATTCTGGTTCAGATTTGACAAAAATAACTGGGATAATTTTCTTCATGCACTTCAGGTGTAACTTGCTAAACATTTTTTGAAGCAAAAAATGTTACAGCCAGAAGTCATAGAGAAAACTGAAACATATATTTTATGTCCAGTTCCAGACATAAGCACAGATTGCTGATGTCTGTTATTGATGATGATAGTTAAATGAAGCTTTTTCCCCATATTAATTTATAGATCACATGTACATAGATGTATATTTAATTAAAGAAAAATTGAACAGGGGGAAAAAGGTGCTGGAATTGTTAAGCTATGCATACATTTCCTACCTTGTTCATATCATGAATCAGTTATAATTGTTGATAGTGGAATGAACTTCTGTGATTCTAAACCCTTTCTGTCTGCATTATATTTGGTCTAAGAACTGAGAATACATTCTTTTTGATCAGATGTATAAACTAATGATATTTCATGATTTAGAAACATGACAGGAAAGATCCTACAGTTTCTGAACCAGGGATTCAAGTAGCAGCCATTATTTTGGCCAATCGATTGGAGCCTTGGAGCAGCACAGGAAAACTGCAATTCCTACGTGCATTGTTAAGAAATATAGACACTGAGAAGCGAAGCATCTTTCAGTCAAGTGCTGAAGTGGCAGGCATGGCACTTGAACTACTGGCTGCTAATGGAAGTGGAATGCTGGAGGGTGATGATGCAGAGTTCCTCTCTGGGATTGTTGACAAGTTAAATTTAACCAAAGATCAGTCAAAGGACAAGTTCCTAACTTGCTTATTTGCCGTCCAAGAATACTATCCACGCATAGTGGATGCATTTATGAATCATGTACTGTTTCATTTACCGAAGACGTACGGCATATTTAGGTGAGTGTGTGTTCAGAATTAAGTACTATGTATGGTCTATAAACGGAGAATCTTATACAGGATATGAGTAATAAACATTGTCATATTTTCGTAATTTCAACATCTGATCTTTATTGTTAATTACGTACGTATGTGGTGGATCTGTGGAAGGGTTCCTGTGCCAGGGGTCAGAGATATGAGGCAAGCTGTGGGTTCTTCGGCATGCCTTTCATGTCCCTCACATCTGACAAAGTTTAAACCTTGTGATTAAGATCAGTAAAATGTCCCTGCTCTTGTTTGGAGTCCATTTTAAGTTTTATACCACCACCACCATTATCATTCTGACCATATAAGTACAAGCCAGTAAGTCCAAACAAATTAAATTTGAAGGCAGTAGAATTTAACATATTTGTGGTGTCCCTTCTGACAGCTTTTGCAATCCGTATGTACTTTTGATGAGTATTTCTGCACTTTCTGACTTGTTTATTTTATTTATCTATTTGTTTACTAATGACATTTTCATTTGCTGTGATTATGTAGTTTCACATGATAGGATGATTGGTGAATATTGAAATGAAAGGGATATGGAACAAAATGGTTGTGGCCTGATTTAAGGAATTGTGCTGTCCTGTACTTGAAGGAACTCAGGGAAAGTATGAGGAACCTCATCAGGATTGCTGGTCTCCTGGCCAAAATTTGAGCCCTGGTCCTGCAGAATATGAAGCAGGAGTGCTAACTGTCAGCCACAATGTTTGGTTCTGACTCAGTGTTTTAATGTATATCGGCTTATTTTATTACAGAACAATGTGTCTGAAGATAGTGTACTCAAGATTAGAAATTCTTGGTGATGATACGTATGCAGAAATGAAGAGTAAAAATTTATTTAAGACATTAAGTGACCGCGATCCTGATCAACAGAACCTTGCTCTCAGTATAGTTCATAAAATGGTACCTCATTTGAAACCTGAGCAGTTGGAGGAACTTGTACATGAGATTTGTAAGTTTGAAACACAGCGGAGTGTAAAGTGTCGATCAGTGATGTATGAAATTCTGAAGTGGATTTATGATCACTGTCAGGATATTGGAGGGGTACTTATAGAAGAAGCAAAGGGAATACTGCTTAAGGGATTGAGAGATGATGATCCACATCTTCAGGACAGCATTTTTGAGTAAGTGAAACTTTTAATTCTTACATGATTCATACAGATGTGTACCTTTGGTTTTGAATTGAAAAATTTGCAGCAAGTTTACAGTTGTTTCCCTGTCTCTGTGAGGCAGGATATGAAAGAAATGATCCATGAAGAGCACTTACAGAATCAGCAATTTTACATTATATTTTGACTTCTGTTGTGTAGGTATTGGAACAGTGATGCACAGCAGCGAGATGCATCTACATCTGATCGGCTGCTTTTCATTTTAACTGATCTCTACTGTCCAGCTACAGAGCATATTTTCCTTGGCTATTCAACACAGTATCTATTAGAAGCTACAGCTGGGACCCCTGACTACAATCAGAAAATATTCAAAGAGCCATTGCAAAAATGTCAGTTTGAAGACTTCAGAATGCTTTTATCATGGCGTGCCCAGAATGCCACAGTTGCACCAATGTTTGCAGATACCCTGGCAAGTCAGCTTATTCAGACCCAATCCCTGAGTGGCACTGGAGAGCATACTGGTGCAGGACCCCTCTTAAGAGCAACACAAGCAAGTTTAGCTTTCCAGCCTACTATAGAGCAAAGTAAGCAGTATGTACTTGTCGCTGGTATTTTCCCATACTGTTAGCATCTGCTGTGTCCATACATTCACTGTGCAAAATAACAACTTGATAACTAATGAACAGGAGGTGTAAGGGATTGTAGCATGCACAATACAGAACCTCTTCTATCTTAATGCAATTTCATCTTTAAACTGCTAGCCCTTTTTAATCAATAACCATTATGTCTACGGTGGAAGAAATACTGCTTGTTAGCTGATCATCCAACCGTTTAAACTCCTTTAAACATTAAATTCTTATATATTTTGGGGAGTATTCGGCCTCTCTATCAAACCTGATTAAGAATATCTTCTGGGATGTGATGCTTGGTAGTCTGGTAGAAGTTCACAGTGTTTCAGATGAAGTTTTGCTTCTTTCTGATTGATTGACTTACTCAACCCTGGAGATGGAGGCAGTACATTCATCCAAGATGTCACTGAATTTCTGCTGGATTGTATGGCTTCAAACCTCAGAAGACATTATTCCTCACAGTCACTGCTATGAGAACCTTAACTGCAATATTGTTAAAAACAGTTCAGTGCTACCAGTATTACATGTCAAACAGATCGAAGAAGAGACTATTTAAAATCTTTCTGTTAAAATTATGTAGCAGATTTTAGACACAATACAGACTTAAGAGATTTGCGTGCATTTGTTACGGACAGAATGGAAAGACAGTGAATAGTACAGAAAATTTATGGTAAGAACTCAGTTTATTGGGGCTAAATATACTTAAACATACAGTGTGTGTTGTAACATTCTATTTCCATGGTATGTCTAGTTGTAAAAATGTATGTTTGTGAGACCTTTACTATATATATATATCCCAATGCCAAAAATAGTAGTATTTCTGTGACAGGTTGTTACCTCAGCTGAGCATTAAGTATCTTGTCACAGTTTTTTCTTTCAGAAGAATAATGTTTTTGTTTCAGGTGGAAGCAGTATTGGTAGCTTGCCATCATTTAGCTTGAGTTCTAGCTTGCTCTTCACCACTGGCAGTTCTTTTGAAAACCAAAGAAAATCGTACAAGATGGGACCAGGTTTTGGCAGTAGCAAGTTACAACCCATACCAGAGGTGTCTGATGAAGGTAGCACAGAAGGAGAAATAAGAATGTTTAGACATATATTTCCTTATTTCATATACACAGTTTCCATTCAAGAAAACTGATACAGAGCATACATTTCTGTTGACACAGTGATACTGAAATGTATGACAATTGCAGGAGTGGTATACTAGCTAAAGTGAAAAGTACTAAATTTTCCAAAGACAAAGAAGAAATCCTTTTTATGTAAGGATATATAGATGAAAATACGTATGAATTCTGACAGTTGTTCTTTCAAACATTGTTTCATAATTTTATAATAAAACATGGCCGATATATTTTAATTTGAAAGAAGAATGCAAAACTTTTAAAACAGAATGGCCGCGGTAAGAAATTGAAATGTTGGGAACTTTTATACCTCATTGCATTACAGATGACAGCCTGGAATACACAAACATAACTGGTTAATATTTCTTTTGCAAGCAGTGGATTTCATCACTAAATTGTGGAAAAATCTTAAATGGAGGTACATAGTTTAACACAGATTATTGACTTGGGTTCATTGAAATTACATGTTAAATGACAGGAAACCTAAACTGAATATCAGATGGGGGTTTCACTGTAAATGATTCCTCTGTCCTTGTTCACTTATTTGGAAATGGGCTTTTAGTAACTGTCACACAATGTTCCTGAAATGTTGAGGTGCACCATCTTGCAGGAAGACGATATTAGCAGATCCCTCTAGCTGTGAAAAAAACATAATTTTCTAACATGCCCAAATACATGTTACTGTTAATTTTCTTTATATGAAGACAAATGGATCTATTATTTCTGTTCACTAGCGCACACCAGACATTTGCCTTACAGATACCTTCCTCTTGCCAATAATTGATGAACAGGGAAACCAGGTTAAGTGGCATGGTGATATGTTAGTCAGTAGTTTCCAGACAGGGACAACAGGTAAAGTGACATGGTGATGGGTTAGAGTTGGATGGGTGACCGCATAATTTTCCCCTGCCTCTTTTGCCACATAGTACACCAGTAGAATCAGGCTTTGAAGTGACAGACTCATGTTTATATTAGCAATGTACAGTCACTGACCACACAGACCCTGATGAGGAAGATTCTGAAATATTGGATTTTTACTCAACGCTGATGCAGCTGATCATCCTAGAAGATTTTACCACATTTATTCACTCTGAAAGCTTGAAACGTTAAATATTGAAGTACTATGTCTTGTTTCTGATTTGTTTATATGAATTTGTTATCTCAGTTCATTCCTGTAATGAACTAATGAGAAGCTGTATTCTTTCTGCAGTGGATAGTCGCTCTGATCGTTTGGCTCCAAATTTGCATCGAAGGTTTCTGCGTCGTGATGATCAAAAGCGGATCTTTCATGCTAGTCGGGAAATTCAACGCTCAGCTAGGCAACAAGAGCTAGAACAAGAAAGAGGTCGCCGCCTTGAAGCAAATATAGCATCTTTCCGTGAATATCGCTCTGGGGATTTCCCAGACATTGAAATATCCTATTCAGCTATTATCAAACCAATGCAAGAACTTGCCAAGGTAACAATTCTGCCTGAGTGCTTAGTACTTATTTTGCTTATATTCATTACTTCATTACAAATTATTAATATGGAAAAGAGATTGCTGAAATAGAATCTGTGAAGTGAACACAAAAATTATGCCGTTAAGAAATGCCAACCCTTTTGCTGTGTTGCTCAAGGGTTTTCCTCCAGCATTAACACATGAAGTTACAGAGCATGCGCAGTCTCTAATGCTTTGCTTCTGTGGTAGTATATTGTGACAATCTAATTTCATGACAGCTTGTTTTTGCAGAGAAGAGAGCATAATCCACTGCACATTTCGAGTTTGACTATTCTTCAATCAGATATTGTCTCAGGAATCAAAGAGATTGATTCATTGCTTAAGTGTTGAATCAGTACTATCAGGAATCAAACTGCAGTGATTTAGGAGCCAGCTGGTTTAACAGTCACACTGTAGCCTACTAATTTAGGGGGTACTCAAGTTTGAATCTCATTCACAATACTGTCTATCCTGGTAGGTGTCTTCTGTGGTTTTACTCAGGCTGTCCAGGTGAAGGCTAGGATTGTACCTTCAAATAGACCATGACCTCCTTTTTCCAAAATTGTTCTACTCAGTTCATTGCTATCTTCCCATTTCATTTGATACTGTATGGCCTGTGCAGCTGAATCAGTGCTGCCACATAAATTAAGAAATGATGAATCTGATGATTTTGTACTAACATGTGATTTGGCTGCACCAAGAGCGAAGAAAGGATTTTAGGCCAAGAACCTTCTTATGGAAAAGAATAATTCAGAGATCCAGATATTATAATAAGTAAAGCTATCTCTGTTACAGGCCATGATGGCCCATAGGGTTGTGAGATGTTGAGGCTCCCACACTGTCTAGACAATAGGCTCAAAGATGGCAGTAAAGTTGTCAGCCTTACACACTGGCCGCGCTTTACTCCCCAGGAAAATTATTTAATTAATTCCTGGTACTCATTTCTGTTAGAGGCTGAGTAAACCCCAGGGTCTAGTGCAGCTGGAAGGATTAGGTCAACTGAAAAAATCCAATTACCTCATCGGGACTTGAACCTACTACCTTCCGGCTTGTAGCATAGTGCCTCAAGCAACTATGCTACTTCGTGCCCCAGATATTATAGTATACTCATAAAATATAGTAGTGAAAACCTTTTAATGTCGCTTTCCATTTCTCCGCTGAAGAAATATGAACCTGGAAAGAGTTTTAAATTGTTTTCAAATTCCTGGACTTTAAACATAAAGGAATTCATGTTGAGGATATAAACAGCTTCACAGGTGTGTAATTGTAATGTGAAATTACATTTTTGGTGGTGTTTTTTATTAATTATAGTATTGACATATTTTGAATATTTTGTCTGTTATATAGTGTTTGTTCTATTTCCACATGTGTTTGTAGCGGGATGCAGCAGTTGCTCGCCACTTATTTGTGTTGCTGTTTGATGGCTTGTTGGGAGAGCTATATGATGAGAAGGAGGTCTATACACAGAAAGTTCAGAAAGCAATGGGAAGCATTGTGAGCACTACCAAGGACTATACAACTATGGTTATGGGCGCTGTGATGGAAATTGCTCTGTGTCATAGCAGATATATTACACTGCAGGCAGAGGACATTACGACAGGTATTTTGACACTTTTCCATTGATTATGATTTAAAATGTTAATATTGAAGGAAGTTTGCGATAAATATATAGTAGGAATTTTGTTGTATTTCAGAAGTGCTGCAACACTATGCAGTGGCTAGCGTTTTCCAACTTGATACCTCGATATATAGAGTCTTCATTGTACCTTCGCAGATTATTGGTTGAATCACCACTTAGTCCATGTTTTCATGTAAATTCACTACATGTTTCTGCAGACGGGGCCATCATCCTACTGTAACACTACCTACATAGGTCTCAAGGCCTATATAGTATTACAGTACAGTGAAGCAGTATAGCAGTCACAGTGATCATGTGTACCTGATGATGACACTATGTGACTGAAATATGTCCTAAATTTACAAGAAAATATGCACTTGGTGGTCTGTGAAATCATATTTAATACCTTATTGCATATATCTGTATAAAATGATAAACAAGTTCTGCAAGATATCGAATACAGTATTACCAATTTGATAGACCTTCAGTTGAACTTGCCATTTTGTGTGAATTTTGGATTGTGACCTTTGCTGAAACAGTTTTGCTACAAGAGATTTTCTTGGGATTCACTTATTTTCTGTATGCTAGCCTTCATTTATGATCAGAATCATCTACTGAATAACCCTGACAGTTGATTTTTTATCACCAAATAATGTATCTTTCATTAGAACAAAAGACTTTTATTTACATTTATTGGCTTCTTATTTTTGTATTATCAGTGTGTTAATCCTCTTTCTATGCAGTGAAGTGCTGATTTAACCCAGTAAGCAGCATGCTGTTTCAAACTGACGAACACAGAATTTTAAAATATAAATGTTGGAATAATGTGTTAAAGTTATATCAACGTTTATAAGTGTTTCCAATTTTTTATTACTACAAAGTGAAATAATTTTCTTTTTGCGTTCTTCAAATGTTAAAAAAAAAGTAGGTGTATTTCTTACAGAAAAGAATTCTAGCAGTCTGGTATTTTGTGTGAAAGAGCTGAGAATTGAATTTCCTCAATTTTTTCTACATGACATCTTTTAAGTTTATAACATATAACTATAACAACTCTTAGCATAGATTGTGCATATGTATTTGGCTGCATTTGGAAACAAAGTACATTATACAGCATTGTTCCGTTTATTGTATGTATCCTGAGTCATGTAATTCTTACTGTTGTAGTATCACGGTTTAGTGGATTACTGGCTTTGGGCTGCCTGTCATTAGAGGAGATATTAATACAGAAGGATACTGTTAGTGAAGCTGGGTCTTCCAAGCGCTCCAAGACATTTGAACCATCCACTGAAGAAATTCTTTGGCTTTCACTGGCTGAGTAAGTAGCTGTGAACTGGAACTGAGCAAGAGAGTATGTTTAAATATGTACCATGGATGGTGTTTCCAGACAGTTCAGGAATACTTTGTGTATGCATATATTTTATAGAGGTTTTCAGTACTTATATGAAACTTTTAATTAATTTGAAATTTCTCTCTTAGTAAACTGACACTTGCAGCATGACCTATTGTGCTTTAGTATGAGGGTAAGTCAATAAGTAAGTTAGAAATGGATATAGAACTTAAACAAATAAGAGTACCAATTTGAAAAATGCTTTTATTTCTTGACATAATCTCCCTGTACATTGAGGCACTTGTCCCATCGTTTCACAAGCCCCTGAAAACCAGCAGCATAAAATTCTTTGGGCTGCTGTCGGACCCAGGNAACCTGTCATGCGACTTCAATTTGTTCGGCCCTCTTAAACATCATCATCTTTTGGCTGAACATTTTCCTGGCAATGAAGCTGTAGAAAGTGAAGTCACCGCCTGGTTCCGACAGCAGTTCAAAGAATTTCATGCTGCTGGTTTTCAGGGGCTTGTGCAATGATGGGACAAGTGCCTCAATATACAGGGAGATTATGTTGAGAAATAAAAGCATTTTTCAAATCAGTACTCTTATTTGTTTAAGTTCTATATCCATTTGTAACTTACTTATTGACTTATCTATGTACTATTGCTAACATGCTTATTACTTTTCATGGGCTGGTTCTTCACAGTAATGTTGTGATTGGGGTCTAGGCAAAACTTAAAGATGATTATTACTCATAACAGTACACCTTGCCCCCATATCCTAGCCAGTACCAACCCCAAAATACTCCAGTTCCTACACATGGGCAATTTAATGTGTAAAAACTGTATTGATAAAACTTTAATGTGCATAGGAAAATTGTGAAATATGGGACATTTTCTTAGCTCCTACTAAAAAATATTAGATCAAAACCGTATTAAGTCAGATTTGAAGTTCCCATGGGAGGACTATGAAGGATACTCTCTTCTTGATTGGGACACCATACAATTTGGTAGATGTTTGCCAACATTTTGGAGGAACCTGCTGCCATCATCTTCAGAGTCTACCCCATAGACGGAGGCAATACATTTCTCTAGAACATCAGTAAACATCTACCAGTCTATACAACTTGAAATCCCAGAATACAGCATTCTATAGATTCATGTCACAAATATCTTATATCAACAGTGTTGTTATTTCACCCTGTGGAAGAATTTGGTGTTGGTGTAACATTTTGTGTTTTTACATGAATCTAGCCTGTATAAACATATGGATGAATGGGATGTGGTTCGAGGAATATTTCACAAGTATCTCAACTGTGGAGAGAATGTCCATAAGGCCCTAAAGTGGGAAACATCAGGCCATTGGGATAAAGCCAGAATGGAATATGAGGCTGCACTCTCTTCTATGGATGATCAAGACGGTTTGAGTGACTACTATTATGAAGCACTGTATAAGGTATATTCTTAATTTGTAATTTTGTTTTCCAAAAGTATTTATGGACTTGATCTGTTTTTATGTGTCTGCCTGTCCATTTTATCAGTTCACAGAACTGCATTTTCTGTTTCTTTTCATGTATCAGAAGTGTTTTGTTGCAGTGCCTGGCCCACCTGTCAGATTGGAAAGGATTGAACAATCAAGTGAGAAGGCAGGTTGAGAACAACTTGGATCAGTTGTGGACAGATGAATGGTGAGTTTAGAAAGTACAAAAGAAAGACAGTCAATCATTTATGGATTTGGCCTTATTTTGACCAGCAAGTTAATGTTGTGCTTTGTAATATGTAGTGTGTTTAGACCATGGAGTGGATAATTTAGAGACTTTTTACCAGTAGATATTAAAGCCAATTAGATGCTTTTTGCATTACACTTTACTGTGTTTAAATACCAGATAATATTCAGTTAAACAGATAAGTTGATAGGATGTAGAATTGTCAATAGGTAAATTAAGAGAGCACCTAATAATTGTCCACCCATTTTATTTATAGTTTATTTAATGACGTCAACATTTCAGACTGTATAGGATTGAAAGGTAGGCTTATAGTGAATAATGAACTGAAAATGATATGGAGGAAGTGTTTTTGCCATAATTTGAAGTATGATCCTGGCATTTGGCTGGAAGGGCTCATGAGAGATCCTGTTATTCACCCACTGAACTTCTAGCTTTCCACTGATTCAGAAATTGTGAATGAAATACGTAGAACTGTCATCTGAGATAAGTGCATTTTCCTATATCTACTTTCTGTTCGGCATAGTATGTTAAATCTACATTTGTGTCACACTTTCATGTATTGAATTTTAAACTAAATTTTGAAATTTACACTACATTTTCACTTCCATCTAGTTAGTATAGGAAAGTCTTATTACTTAGTACAAATTTGGAATTGATGGTCATTTTCTCAAAATCAGCTTTTTGTGTCAAAGAAATATGTATAATATAAAGTAAAATTTTATGTGTCCTGTATGAGAATCCATTGGAGCCACTGTCTGGACTGGATCATTGGTAGTACGAATATGTCAGATTTGTATTTGGGAGGTATCCAATTGGAATTATAGCTGGGGCATCAACTATTTTGTGTGCCAGCTCTAAGGATGAGGATGTGTCATATGATATTCATGCGTTATAAAGAACTGAGGAGTAAATGGTCATAGCCTTCAATCTTGGCACTCAGCAGTTGTAATCGTTAAGTTTTACTGTAATGTCTTATGACACCTTTTATTCTGTTTAAAGGCACACTGCCTGGCCACGAAACCATATGTTAATTGTCAGAGAGCAAAGCTTCCTGGATAAAGTTAATGGGTCAGACAAAGGTGACAATTATTTGGGCTTTCAGGCTCAAAGTTGGTACATGCTAGGCTGATTTTGTTCACCTAATTTATCTCTCACATCCCAACTTCATAATTTTTCAGACTGTGATATTGAACTTAAATATTTAAGAATAAGTTTGTTATTGCAGATTATAATAAGCTTATTCTTAATTTGATTATGTGCTACTCATGGATTTCTTTGTTTTTTTAAGGTTACAGGAAAAGCTGCTTCCTCAGATACTTTTGTCTGAAATTCAAATGATGTTGGACAAAGGCGTTGACAGCAAAAGGGAACAGTTCCTTCAGCAAGTTGACAGATGGTTGAGAGACAGAGATAAGAGTGATTACCTTTCAAGTCACTACTGTGAGGAACTGGCTGCAATATTTCTTATACAGGATAAATTAGATCAAGCCCAGCACCAAGTAGAACATAGTTTGACAATGTTTCTTGATAGTTGGGCAGCACTGAACCCTTCTTCACATAACTTGCGCACTAAGCAACTTCTGGACCTCCAAAAGACTGCAGAGTTAAAGGTTTGTGCATTTACTGGATTAAATAATTTTTTCCTTCTGGAAGAAAATCATTGAGAGTGTTATCTGTGTAATACTCCCTTCATTTGAGGAATGTGCAAGCAGCAGAGGAGTATTACTTGAATATATTATGGGAAGTTGACATATCTTCCAAATATAAGTAATTTATTTAGTAGCTTCCTAGTAGAAAAATTATGTGTTTATATTGGTCATGAACTGTGAATTTAATTTTTGTGATATTTATTATTAAATTATAAATTTGAATACAAATGAATAACTTAATTCATTGAGTCCTATGGCCTGCACCTTTAAAAGTACAGTTATCAGATTACAAGAGTAAAGTAAATACCCAAGAAATGCCATATTGGAAGGGTTGCTTTCCAATTGTTTGTCTGCAACCAAGCTGTCAGTGGATTTTTATGAAACTTTGTATAACCAAAAAGGCAAGAAACATTAAAATGTATTTGAACCATTGTGGTCAGTCATGACAGTTGGTTGAAGGACCATGTGATCTTTAATGGTTAAATATTCATGAAACTGAGCACACAGCTCATTTGGCTCATGGTATGGTCCACTGTACCTTATTCTTATACTCCACAACTCATCATGACATTATATTCCCTTCCCCCAACTCCTTAACATATCACTTTCATATCTGTGCTCTCTGCCAGTCCTATCTCATGTGTCTGCTTTGAATGGATGGCTGTTGGGCAGTACGGTGTTGGATCACCGTCTCTTTCTCTGATGCTCAATGTGAGGGCACGTAAAACTCCATTTTGGGCTCGCTGCATGTTGATTTCAAAATTTGGGTTTGGATTTGTGCCAGCTGGAATGCCAGAAATAAGGGTGCATCTGTTGTTAGCTATTGCTTAATAATGGTAATGTAATTTGCTGACCCCATATGTAACAAGGTATTTCTGTTGTTTTGATTTGCCACATTGGTTATACTCAGGAATGTTTAAGGTTGTTGATCAGGTGAATTTGTTTGGAAATTTATATAACCTTTTTAACTGTATTCATGATTATCATACTATGTATCACTTCTTGTTCTGTGGCTGTACAAGTAGGACTTGCCTGCCTTGTTAGGCATGATATTTTGTATATATTGCTTACCAGTTCTGCATGTCATGTTCTCGATTGCTTTCGAGAACAAGACACACAGCACAACACACAACAGGAGAGAACACAACTCACCAACTCAAACACATATGCACATTGAGAGGGCTTATATATTAACAACGTAAGCAACAAGAGAAGACAGCAGTTTCCTCGCTCAATAATTTTAACACCTGATGATGACCACATTGGTCAAAATATGTAGTGAAGGACTCTTAAACTTTTAAAGTGAATAACTTTTAATAAATTTTATAGAACATAGTGTTGCACATGAGACTGTGTAAAAAATTTGCAAGGTGTTAATTATTTGCTTATTAAAACTGTTTTGTTATGCTACATTCTTTTTTTTTCTTGTAGTCAAGAAGCTTTGAGGGAGTGTAATTAAGCTGTATGAACAGATTTACATAATTAGTCCACATATATGAAGCACTGAAACCCACGACTGAATCAGAGATAATAAAGTGGCCCAGTTATAGAGAAATGTTTGAGCAAATGACACTCACTTTCAGAACAAAGAAAGCAAATTACAGAATTTAATACATAAATATCTAAACTACACACTCCCATACACAGTGAACTCTTCTTCTTGTAAATGTGTTTCTAGAATTTGGTCTGCCATGAAAGAAATGCTTTCAGTATGACTGAATCAGAGATAATAAAATTACCAAGTTATTGAGTAATGTTTGCTCAGTGACACTCACTTTCAGAACAAAGAAAGCAGATTATAGAATTTAATACATAAATAGCTAAACTATTAACCCCGATATAGATTGAACCCTTCTTCTTGTAAATGTATTTCTAGAATTTGGTCTGCCATGAAATAAATGCTTTCAGTTATGCAAGCAGGTATCATTAACAGAATATTGATTTTGTGGTCTTCACTGTATGTGAAGTGAAATAATAACACTCTGTTACATTATATCTATATTTCTCAGCAGTTGATCATTTGTTTCTGTACTAGCATCATTGTCAGTTTGTAGACTGTTGGTGTGATGTGCTTGAAGTTGCTCACAATTCTCAAATGAATATGGCATGAATTCTCACTGCTTCCTTCATGCTTTTCCAAATGAATATGAATATGAATATGAAATAACAGAAGCCATCTAAACAATATGTGCCACCTGTATAAACTATGGTAAGTTAAACTGGACACATAAGTTTAAACATTTTTAAATGTATTTTGTACTAACTGTGTTTCAGGCCTGCCTGGCATTTGCCACAAATGGTGAACACTCAAAGCAAGAATTATTAGCAAAAGAGCTTGTAAAAAGGTGGAACAAGAATGTTCCCAGTGCCTTTGACTCTTTGCTTCGTTGGGACATTAGAGCGATGTACAGGTAAAATAATTAGTGTAATATTAATAAAAGTTGTGGAGTTGTCAATATATAGGTAATGTAGAATTGGCAACTTACCAGTATGTAGGTAATTCTTATGGGTTTTATAGATTCCTTCAGTTTCTTAAGTAGAGGGACCAATGGCTACTTATTTTTGTATATCCTTTAAGATGACGGTAGAGCACAGTTCACTTGAGAAAAGACACTGTGTTCCTTGACAGACTTGTATGGAACTTGCATTGTTCAGCCCTATCTGAAGCCCAGACAATCTTGTCATTGTGAAGTGGTAAGAAGCAGAGGATGAGGTTAAGAGAGATGTTGGAAATAGAGGGGAACAGAGGAGTGAAACTACTTGGGGATGTTTGTAGGAAGATAGATGTGACTGGAAGGGAGTATGTCATACCAGTATGACCATCAGCAGTGGAGACATCTGAAAAATAAGGAGACAAAGATGAATTTAATGATAATGATAATATTTATCACTGATTTTAATTATAACAAAATTTTCATCTGAATAGATACATTTTTATGGTTCGGTGGAGTTTGTTGTAATGACGTTTCAGTGTATTTATGTAAATATGTAGTACATTTTTTTGGGTCACTTCTGTGTTTCAACCAAATTAAAATATAAATTTTATGCATAGCACCAAACCCTTATGGTCATACTATGGTATTCTGGGTTATGACATCTTGAAGCATGGTAGGTTGGTACCAGCTCTTGTATTGGAGAGTGCAATGTATCTCTGTCAGTGTGTCATGACATTTGAAATTCATATGTATTTATACAGATTTAACAATTGTTCACAAAGAGTTGTAACAGTTGTGAGACTGCCAAGCACAGTGGTTGAGTGGATAGCATTTGATTACATTTGATCACCTGGGGACTGGATATCCTTGCAGGTTTGGCATAGTTCTCTTCTGCCCCCCCCCCAAACAAATGTGAGTTATGCCATGACTACGTCCTTTCGTATTCTTTCCAATTTTGAACCCACCAATCATCCTATCCTACAATGCTATATAGCCTGAGCTACTAACCACATCATTAAATAAACCATAAATAAATAAATAAAACACTTGTTAACTGTTGTTCACATGTGCTCATGTTTCTGTTTTTTGTTGAGCTGCTAGTATTTTTTTTATCATTTTTCTTATTTGTTACACATTTACTTATTTGGAATGATCATTTTCAGACTTAATATTTAAATTAAATTTTTCTTGAAACAGTATGAATAAAAAAATATAAATAAATAAAAGCATAATGAAATTGATACATTTATACACAAAAATATTTGTAATAATACATGATCTGGCATACTGTTTAATACTGGTCTGAATTCTGGTGTCCCCTCAACTGGGAAAGGTTGAGAAGTGATCCATTTGTGTTTATGCTTCTGTCATTTAATTTTGGGAAATATTAAAGCAATTGTAAAGTTATTCTGAATGAAACGATTATGTGAAAGTAGCACTGTGTATCTTGTATCAGTATGTATGCGTCAGCAGTATTATTTTCTTGCATTAGGAAGAAATTCACTAATCGGATTGACCAGATGCTGGAGAATACAGGTGCATCAAATGCTCTGAGCCGTACGGAGCTAGCCATGGTAGATTCAGCACTCTACCAGGAAAACTTCTACATTGCAAGGAAGTATTTGCGTGAAGCACGAGAGAAGGTAATCCCTTTCACACAGTTGTGATGGATATGTAGTTCATATAGTCCGCTTAATACTTTGAGTCCTATAATGCATTTCTTATGGGGCACGTGGTAGCGTAATTGGTTGAGGCACTATACTACAAGCTGGAAGGTTTGAGTCCTGATGAGGTGGATTTTTTTTTTTTTTCAGTTCACCTAATCCTTGCAGCCACACTATGGCTCTGGGGTTGACTCAGTCTCTAACAGAAATGAATACCAGGAATCTTCCTGCGGGGGGGGGGGGGGTAAAAGGTGGCCAGCGTGTAAGGCTGACAACCTCACAACCATCTGTGAGCCAATTGTCTAGATAATGTGGGACCCTCAGTATCTCACAACTCTATCAGCCTCCATGGCTTGTTACAGGGGTAGCTTTACCTTTTTTTAATGCATTTCTTACACTGGTATATATGAATCTGATATGCTGAGTGATGTAATAATACATCACTCTTCTCAGAATTTGTGCAAAGATTGTTATCAATCCATAGGTTTATAATTTCAGTTCTTCTATGTAGGGCATTCCTTCTAGCCAACTTTACATCTAATAAATGCCATATGTTGCCCATGAAAATTTTTGTCCTATAAACCTCTAATAAAAAAATTACTTGACAAAGTGGAATGTGTTATGTTTATAGAAATACGAGGCAAATACTGGCTAGAGAATTCTACACTCTGCCACTGGATAGTAAACTTTAAAAAATGCCTGCTGTTGTTCAGTACACACAGCATGGCTAGTATACTGCCAGCAACAGAGTACGCTTGTAGTATCTTTTCTGTTGTCCTTTCCATAGGACAGCAATGTTTCTGTTTCCAACAATATTTTGTAGGGTGTAAGTTTATGATGCATTGCCCTTGTATGTGATTTCACACTGTATGATGAAATATATGATATAATCTGATTTCTAAATATGGTTGATTTAAAATGACATTTTAATTTTCAGATGTCCAATAGTGGTACTGACATGGAACTCCAGTGCAGTTTAGCATACAGCAAGGCGAAGTGGCTTCAAGCACAGCTTAAGAACACAACTGATGAGAAGCTGAAGTTAGGATTAGACTCTTGGAGTGTGATAGGTAACATCAATTTGCTACATCTCCTTTTGAATCCTGCTATTAAAACCTTCACCATAGAAAGGCTTGATATTTAAACCTTCAAGGATATTCCGCTAATCTTTGATTTAATATATAATTGTGACCCATATAAACATCACATCATCCATGACAGGATCAATTTAAGACCAAAGAAGGAAGTAAACAAGAATTGCTATAGGCAGTTTATTCCTTCACTCCTGTTTTGTCACAACTTTTTGGATGACTTATGCACCTTATGCACAGTTATTTTTTTGTTGAGTGGTTAAAGAAAAGTTGCTGGACAGAATTTTGCCATGTCAGCTACACTGAAGTTCATGAAGTGAAATAAAAACTACAACAGAGGACTTATATCTGCCCTTCATATTTGTTTGTAGAAGATCAAAGATTTGAACAGTATCCTATGCTGCATGCAGAAACCCTGCAGCATGTCTCTGTAATGGCAGCAGGAATATTGCAACAACTTGAACAGCAGCCAGGTGTGTTGACAAAGCTTCCAGCAGCTGAGGTAAAGAAATTGGCTGACAGAATTGGAGCACCAGATTGCAGGTACAGTTTGTCATTTGTCATTACTGAATATTGTGCCATAATTGTTATCACTTAAACTGTAGTTTGAAGGGGCACATAGTAGCGTAGTTGATTGAAGCACTGTGCTACACATCAGAAGGTCGTAGATTCGATTCCTGATGAGGACATTGTTTTTTCAATTGGTCTAATCCTTCCAAGCGCACAATGGCACTGAGATTGACTCTGCCTCTAATAGAAATGAGTACCAGGGATCTTCCTGACGGTAATGGGCAGCCGGTGTGTAAGGCTGACAGCCTCAACTGATTGTCTAAAAAATGTGGGAGCCGTAACATCTCACAACCCTATGGGCCTCCACTGTCTAGAAAATGTGGGAGCCTTAACAACTCACAACCCTATGGGCCTCCACAGCCTGTTACAGGGATAGCTTTACCTTCCCCCTCCCCTTAGTTTAATGGTACACTGAACTCCCTGTTGTTAGTGATGTGTGGGAAATGGAGTGTTCCATTTACATGAATCTGCCAGTTGCATGATAAAAACCTTATAGAAACCCAACACAAAATCAAAACAACACATTTTCTCTTCAGTTCTTACTAGTGACAGCCAGGAGACCTACCATGTGGTGGGTGAACATGTGCGTATCACATATTTAAAACTTTAGCCTGTTGGATGAGAATTCAGAATGCTTGGATACTAAATAACTGGGTGTTTACCATACTTAGGTTAAGTCATTGAACTGTAATTAAAATACTGTGACTGCATCATGGTGTAAATGTGTATGAACTAACAGATATGCATACTTAAAGTATATAATATCAGCTTAACTGCTGTACATTGCAATTTGATCTTGAAGTGTTACAAAGGAAATAAAAGAGTACATTCTGTTTCATTACCAGACTATTAGACATTAGTGACTACTCATAACAAAGACATTGATCATAGTGAGATAGTTTCTCAGTATGCTACTTTACAATTATGCTTTTTATCAGATAATAAAGCAAAGTAAGAAATTGATTTAGATTTGGGTAATCATGGTAAATTATTCTGTACAAGTCGTCTGTTATTATCTTACTTCGACACAGAGTGGCATGTAAGTAACAACATGTGTTTAAACTGTTGACCACCACATGATGGGTACAGAGTACCTATTTCTTTTAAATATATGGGACCCTGTCAATGACTTACTCTACGAGTATTAATGTTGCACAACTGGAATCTTTTGTACATTTTGAATGCTAGCAAATATTGATACTATAGTGAAGTTATTAAGGCCCATGCTGCAAATATTATAGCTCTTCCCCTCCAAAAAAATGGTCCTTACCGCTTATCATTTCTTTTATATATAAGTTTGCTTTTCTACTAACAATTCAGGCAGTTTGAGACATAAGAAAAATTATATGGGTTATGTTTCAGCCAAGATACACTCATGCAGAACTTGAAGCAGTATGGTCTTAGCAGTCTGAAGACAGCAGCAGAGGTGGTTACTCCTAGAGGCAACTCAGAGCAAGCTGTTGCCAAGGCGTACCTTCAGGTTGCAAAGTATTGTCGGGCTCACTCTAACACTTCACGTTAGTACATTCAAGGAGCCTTAATTTGTAAATGAAACTGTCAAGCTCTTGACTCCATGTATTAATTTTGTGGTTCCATGTCTCACTATTTTTCATTCTTGGCTGTAGTCCTAATATTGTAACGTTTATCACATTTTGGAACGATTATAATCTCATTGCCAGTGGCCCCATAAGATCCTGCTGATATCCTGTCTCTGTGCGCTGCTGTTTTACTGCACTGTCACTGCTGTCCTTGCACATTGCAGCAAACTCTCCTTATGCACTATTCCATGTCTGCTTNAGAAATTCACTAATCGGATTGACCAGATGCTGGAGAATACAGGTGCATCAAATGCTCTGAGCCGTACGGAGCTAGCCATGGTAGATTCAGCACTCTACCAGGAAAACTTCTACATTGCAAGGAAGTATTTGCGTGAAGCACGAGAGAAGGTAATCCCTTTCATACAGTTGTGATGGATATGTAGTTCATATAGTCCGCTTAATACTTTGAGTCCTATAATGCATTTCTTATGGGGCACGTGGTAGCATAATTGGTTGAGGCACTATGCTACAAGCTGGAAGGTTTGAGTACTGATGAGGTGGATTTTTTTTGTCAATTCACCTAATCCTTCCAGCTGTAATATGGCTCTGGGGTTGACTCAGTCTCTAACAGAAATGAGTACCAGGAATCTTCCTGCGGGGGGGGGTGTAAAATGTGGCCAGCGTGTAAGGCTGACAACCTCACAACCATCTATGAGCCAATTGTCTAGATAATGTGGGACCCTCAGTATCTCACAACTCTATCAGCCTCCATGGCTTGTTACAGGGGTAGCTTTACCTTTTTTTAATGCATTTCTTACACTGGTATATATGAATCTGATATGCTGAGTGATGTAATAATACATCACTCTTCTCAGAATTTGTGCAAAGATTGTTATCAATCCATAGGTTTATAATTTCAGTTCTTCTATGTAGGGCATTCCTTCTAGCCAACTTTACATCTAATAAATGCCATATGTTGCCCATGAAAATTTTTGTCCTATAAACCTCTAATAAAAAAATTACTTGACAAAGTGGAATGTGTTATGTTTATAGAAATACGAGGCAAATACTGGCTAGAGAATTCTACACTCTGCCACTGGATAGTAAACTTTAAAAAATGCCTGCTGTTGTTCAGTACACACAGCATGGCTAGTATACTGCCAGCAACAGAGTACGCTTGTAGTATCTTTTCTGTTGTCCTTTCCATAGGACAGCAATGTTTCTGTTTCCAACAATATTTTGTAGGGTGTAAGTTTATGATGCATTGCTCTTGTATGTGATTTCACACTGTATGATGAAATATATGATATAATCTGATTTCTAAATATGGTTGATTTAAAATTACATTTTAATTTTCAGATGTCCAATAGTGGTACTGACATGGAACTCCAGTGCAGTTTAGCATACAGCAAGGCGAAGTGGCTTCAAGCACAGCTTAAGAACACAACTGATGAGAAGCTGAAGTTAGGATTAGACTCTTGGAGTGTGATAGGTAACATCAATTTGCTACATCTCCTTTTGAATCCTGCTATTAAAACCTTCACCATAGAAAGGCTTGATATTTAAACCTTCAAGGATATTCCGCTAATCTTTGATTTAATATATAATTGTGACCCATATAAACATCACATCATCCATGACAGGATCAATTTAAGACCAAAGAAGGAAGTAAACAAGAATTGCTATAGGCAGTTTATTCCTTCACTCCTGTTTTGTCACAACTTTTTGGATGACTTATGCACCTTATGCACAGTTATTTTTTTGTTGAGTGGTTAAAGAAAAGTTGCTGCACAGAATTTTGCCATGTCAGCTACACTGAAGTTCATGAAGTGAAATAAAAACTACAACAGAGGACTTATATCTGCCCTTCATATTTGTTTGTAGAAGATCAAAGATTTGAACAGTATCCTATGCTGCATGCAGAAACCCTGCAGCATGTCTCTGTAATGGCAGCAGGAATATTGCAACAACTTGAACAGCAGCCAGGTGTGTTGACAAAGCTTCCAGCAGCTGAGGTAAAGAAATTGGCTGACAGAATTGGAGCACCAGATTGCAGGTACAGTTTGTCATTTGTCATTACTGAATATTGTGCCATAATTGTTATCACTTAAACTGTAGTTTGAAGGGGCACATAGTAGCGTAGTTGATTGAAGCACTGTGCTACACATCAGAAGGTCGTAGATTCGATTCCTGATGAGGACATTGTTTTTTCAATTGGTCTAATCCTTCCAAGCGCACAATGGCACTGAGATTGACTCTGCCTCTAATAGAAATGAGTACCAGGGATCTTCCTGACGGTAATGGGCAGCCGGTGTGTAAGGCTGACAGCCTCAACTGATTGTCTAAAAAATGTGGGAGCCGTAACATCTCACAACCCTATGGGCCTCCACTGTCTAGAAAATGTGGGAGCCTTAACAACTCACAACCCTATGGGCCTCCACAGCCTGTTACAGGGATAGCTTTACCTTCCCCCTCCCCTTAGTTTAATGGTACACTGAACTCCCTGTTGTTAGTGATGTGTGGGAAATGGAGTGTTCCATTTACATGAATCTGCCAGTTGCATGATAAAAACCTTATAGAAACCCAACACAAAATCAAAACAACACATTTTCTCTTCAGTTCTTACTAGTGACAGCCAGGAGACCTACCATGTGGTGGGTGAACATGTGCGTATCACATATTTAAAACTTTAGCCTGTTGGATGAGAATTCAGAATGCTTGGATACTAAATAACTGGGTGTTTACCATACTTAGGTTAAGTCATTGAACTGTAATTAAAATACTGTGACTGCATCATGGTGTAAATGTGTATGAACTAACAGATATGCATACTTAAAGTATATAATATCAGCTTAACTGCTGTACATTGCAATTTGATCTTGAAGTGTTACAAAGGAAATAAAAGAGTACATTCTGTTTCATTACCAGACTATTAGACATTAGTGACTACTCATAACAAAGACATTGATCATAGTGAGATAGTTTCTCAGTATGCTACTTTACAATTATGCTTTTTATCAGATAATAAAGCAAAGTAAGAAATTGATTTAGATTTGGGTAATCATGGTAAATTATTCTGTACAAGTCGTCTGTTATTATCTTACTTCGACACAGAGTGGCATGTAAGTAACAACATGTGTTTAAACTGTTGACCACCACATGATGGGTACAGAGTACCTATTTCTTTTAAATATATGGGACCCTGTCAATGACTTACTCTACGAGTATTAATGTTGCACAACTGGAATCTTTTGTACATTTTGAATGCTAGCAAATATTGATACTATAGTGAAGTTATTAAGGCCCATGCTGCAAATATTATAGCTCTTCCCCTCCAAAAAAATGGTCCTTACCGCTTATCATTTCTTTTATATATAAGTTTGCTTTTCTACTAACAATTCAGGCAGTTTGAGACATAAGAAAAATTATATGGGTTATGTTTCAGCCAAGATACACTCATGCAGAACTTGAAGCAGTATGGTCTTAGCAGTCTGAAGACAGCAGCAGAGGTGGTTACTCCTAGAGGCAACTCAGAGCAAGCTGTTGCCAAGGCGTACCTTCAGGTTGCAAAGTATTGTCGGGCTCACTCTAACACTTCACGTTAGTACATTCAAGGAGCCTTAATTTGTAAATGAAACTGTCAAGCTCTTGACTCCATGTATTAATTTTGTGGTTCCATGTCTCACTATTTTTCATTCTTGGCTGTAGTCCTAATATTGTAACGTTTATCACATTTTGGAACGATTATAATCTCATTGCCAGTGGCCCCATAAGATCCTGCTGATATCCTGTCTCTGTGCGCTGCTGTTTTACTGCACTGTCACTGCTGTCCTTGCACATTGCAGCAAACTCTCCTTATGCACTATTCCATGTCTGCTTTAACACAAATCTGCTCTAGTCATCTACACTCACTAAGTCTAAACTCAGGACTGTCTCACTTGAGGCTAGCAGATGCTGTTTTATGCACTTAATGTTTCTAGAATGGTCCTATGTCTTAGTGAGTGGACTGGGTGCTTTACCATTACTTTTTTGTAGATGTCATTCACTATTTTATTTTATTTTTCAAAGTTATAAACAAGTTGTTATAGTGTAGATGTTCTTCAAACACTGAAGGATAGTGCAGATATTTTAAAGAGTAAAGATATTATATTTCTTCTGGGTTTTGTAATTTATTTTTCATAACTTTTCTCTTAGTATTTTCCAAGATATGATTTTAAAGTGACAGACACTTGAGTCCTCAACAGAAATAGGCAATGAAAGTGGCTGCTGTTGGCATCAGAAGTTACACTGAGGGGTGGTATCACTACATATTTTCGCGTATCGGGCGTATATCGCGACAAATAAGTTCTNAGGCATGTAAAATGAAATTCCAGTTTACTAAGTCTCAGGATGAATGGGCTTTTCTTACATTAAATTGAGGTTTTCACCAAATTAGTCTTGTGCAGAAATACAACAAGGAACTCTAATCTTTTTATGTGTCTTACTGTAAATAATTATGAACATTTCTTTACATAAATAGTTAAATTTTCTGTGCAGATAGATAGTTGCATAATAATGTTAAATTAATCTCTGAATAAATGATGACATGTGAAATAAAACAGTGGTATTTCAATAACAACTACAGTCACATTAAATTGGGGTACAAGATCTGTAGGTTATTTACTAAATTAAAACTGACCAAAAATAGGAATATTATATATTATTTATATTGGATTTTGAATAGGGTAAGAAAGATTGTGCATTAAATAATGCGATATCACTAAATGTGGGAAGCTAAATCAGGATTTTACAGTTACTCTTATTTTCATAAAACGGTATTTCTTGATTTCCAGGAGAAGATAACTTTGGCACTGACATAGTGACCTCCATCTTGAGAGCAATGAGGTATGGGTCTAAAGATGCACGCCAGCTGTTCCCATGCCTTTTACAGTTACCTGGACTTGACACTTCTTTGTCTGAACTATTCCATAAAGAGGTAAGTATTAGAAAAACAAAAACAAATGCTGTGATTTTAGTCCGCAAGCGAACTATACCGACCAAGTGACTGCTGCTTGTCAGTGAAATTTAGTGCCAACTTTTGCAGAGAGAGGGTGTTGTGTGGTCAGTGCAACAAATCCCCACTGCCGTTAATCTCAGTTTTCTAGAACGGAGCTATTATTTCCTTGAAATAGCTCCTCAATTATCATCACGAGGCTGAGTGCACCCCGTTCCAGACCCACTACTTCTCAGAAAAAATCTGGTAGCACTGGAATCGAATGCAGACCTCTGGATCTGTAGCCAGGAATGCTGACCACTAGACCACAGAGGCGCTCATATAATAAATGTTCAGTATCCTAAATTATACTTTATTCAGAATAAATATGGACTATTTATAAAAGTGGACTAAGAAGCAGATATGACAAATCAAAGGCTTAATTCACGGCAGTCCCACATTGAACTGAAAATGCGTGCACTTGGAACTGCTTCTGCTTCAATTTCCGCTGCCTTTCTCTAGTATCATTTCAGTTTTGTGTGTATGTGTCAGTGGGTGAAACGTCTCCAGTTCCTTCTCCCTTCTTGTTACCTCTGCAGTATTTCTCAGAAATTTCATATCCATTGGATTTTGCTTTTGTTTCTCTTTTCAGAGATCTGTGTTTTGGCATAAAATATTAGAACAGATTTAAAATACATGATATAAATTGTTGTTTTGCAGTTTTTTGGGATCTCTCTGTTCCATTATATTCCTTTTATATTGCAATAGAATTAGAACTGTTTTTTATCCATTTATTACAGAGCAGTGCTGTTCCTGTATGGATGTTCCTGGGCTGGGTGAACCAGTTGCTAGCTTGTCTTGGCACTCCTGTAGGCCCAGTGCTGCATGACATCATTCTCCGTCTAGCTGAGACATATCCCCAGTCCCTCATCTATGCTTTTCAGCTGAGCCGAGAGAAGTACAACTTAGAGAGTGGTCATGTAAGCTTGAAGGCCCTTGTTGATCAGTAAGTAGAGCAGCTCTAATATGTGCTATGGAATGGGCAGAAAGCAGTAATTGACAAAGCCAGAAATTTAGATAAAAAGTTCAGAAACTGGGAACAGCAGCACCTATGATAACATAAAATTTACAGAGTAGAAGCCACCATCCGGTGGGGGAATGAGGGAGGATAAAGATGATGTGATGTAGTGTGCTTAACTTAAAGCATTAGTGTATTAATGATGTATTTCTGCATTAGAATTTCATGCTTAATTTCAGTTCACCATGATAAAGCATGACATTTTTAAAGGAAGCGCAACATATTGTCATCATATAAAGTCAACTAATAAACCCCTCAAAAGCATGGCAGAATTCAAATATTTGGGAATGACTGGAACACATCAGAGTTACATACACAAAGAAGTTAAGGACAGGTTAAATTCAGTTAATCCTTTGCTACCATGCAATTTAGAAACTTATCTCCCAATCTCTCTAAGAATGTAATGATGTGAATATACAGAACTATAATTTTACCTGTTGTTTTGTATAGGTGTGATTCATAATCTATTTATCCTAAGTGGAAAACATTGGTTGAGGACAGAACACTTAGAAGACTGTATGAACCAAAGAAAGAGGAAGTAACACAATAGAGAAAATGCATAATGAAGAACTTCATAGTTCATACTGTTCAGAAAATATTTTTAGAATGAGCAAATCGAGGAGGATAGGAGGAGCAGCAGCAGATATGGCTTGTATGGGGACATGAGAAATGCATGTAAAATTATAGGTAGAAACATGAAGGGAGGAAATCATTTGGGAGACCTAGGCATAGATGGGAGGGTAAGATTAAAATGGATCTCAGAATATTTGGCAGTGCTTAGATGCAATATAGAAGCTATAAAGCTGAAAGGAAGAGTTCTCTTTTGTGGGATATAATGCCATGTGAAAGATAGCTGACATTTTAGAGGAATATAATCACCATCTTCAGAGTTGAAGAGTAAGCCAAGCAGAGAGACAACATGAAGCAGGCTGCTGCCTCTGAAATGTCAGTTCATTTTCTCTGGATTACATGGCATTCCATGGTATATCCCAGCAGATTATTATTATTATTATCATTATTGGAGGGGGTGGGTTTCCCCATGCACCACGACCAGTTTGATCTATTGTACATCCCCCTGTAATTTTCTACCAGTCTCTATACCCTACCGGTACTGGTGCGTGCCGTCAGTCCCAACTCAGCCAGCGCGTTCGGCCTCTACTGGCTCAGTGGTATCTAGATGCTTCCCCCATCTACCAGAGGTGTTAGAGACTATTGTTGGGCGGGAAATGTCCTTACAATTTGGCTCAAGAGGTCTCCTTGAGACATGAGGTTCTTTTACATGCCGTAAAGCTACGACACGGGACTCACGGCTTAAAGTCCCTCCCGGAGGACTTGTTCCCTGAATTTTTCCACCCTTAAAAATTCCACGACCTCCACCGGGTTTGAACCCGCTATGACCGCCCCACGCGTTCGGCTCCACTCACTCTAACCTTCTAGTGCTTTAAGGCCCTTTGCGTTGGGTGTTACCTTCTTGTTGTCGTCGTCCCCTCCTTTTACCTTCCTGTTCCTTCACCTGGCTTCCGCCTGCAGCGGCTGTTGCTGATGCTCTTTGCCAAAGGAACACAGGTGAAATTCCTGTACCTCAGAAGGTAGAGATGAGACTATCCCAGGATCTTTTTACGGGCCTCGCTCAGACAGAGAGGCAGAAGCATCTAGTGATACACCACTTGAACTTTGCATGTGAGGACACTTTATTCTTTATGAAGAATGCAAAGAAAACACAGTTCACATACACAACAATACACCAGGTGCTGACACTTCTTNACCATGCAGTAAAATGTCATACTTAGTTTTAATGAAAAGGGCCATATTCACAAAGACTGAAAGGCTCGAGGAAGAAAAGTATATCCTCTTTTTACACTCACCTCCAGCTGAATGAAATATAATGTATAAAGAGCTTTCAAATTAACTGGTCTGATAACGTGAAGATGTAGAGTGACCTTCAGTGGCATGGCAGTGTTGATAGAGGTTTGTTCAATTTAAAGCTCAGATTGATTGTTGTCCAGTTGAATCAGAATCAGTTTCTCAGTATTTGAGTGTGTTTTGTGAATAATATTAATGTCTTGGAGTCAGTATTTGATTCAGTTTAATGCAGTAATTGATACTGATTACTTTGTGTCCATCTTGCTGTTATGACCTCGGTTTGAAGCATAAAGATACGAACCTAATATTAGTACTCTTTCTCTGTAGTCTACACAAGTATTATTTATAACTGGGTTTTCTATCTTCTGCAGGTTAGCTAGTTTACTGTTCACTGATCCAGTGATTGACATCTTCCTAAGAGCATTTTCGTGCCTTGGTCAGCCACGTAAAATGCTCTACCATTTTGTGGAGAAGCTTGAACAGCTCTTAAATGCTAAAAGGCCAAATTGTGACAGTCTGCATCACATGTATGATACAATGATGAAGGAACTGTTTCCAAGTTCTTATGGGAAAATACATGGTGCTTTATTTAAAGATATACAGGAATACAGAAAACGGCTGGAAAAAGCAGAGTCAAATATCAAATGTGGAAATAAGAAAGTTCTTAAAGACATATGCTTTATCAAGGAAAAACTGAAATATATTATCCAAGATATTAAGCCTCCCGTGCAGTTGAAGGACTACAGTCCCTGGCTCAGTGAATTCCAGGGAGGCAAACACTGTTTCTTGGAACTGGAGATACCTGGCCAGTACACTGGAGAAAGCAAACCACTTATCCAGCACCACGTTAAGATTGCTGGCTTTAAACAGACAGTAAGTTAATACAGATATCGCTTTATTTACATGATTTTTCACTGTTTTCACTTCTTAGTTTAGAAGACTGATTGTGTATTTTATATACTATATATATTATATCACTATGCTACAAGCTGGAAGGTCATGGGTTCAAGTCCTGATGAGGCAGATTTCTTTCAATTTACCAAATCCTTGCAACCAAACCATGGCCCTGAAGTTGAAGTTGAGAGGGTACAGTTCATCCATGAGTCTTTTTAATGTACTGAGAGTGATCTTAGGCATTAGGTGAATAAAATAACGCGTGGAATAATGATAATAAAGAATGTTAAGTGTTTTACTATATCCAGATGGTAAATTGATTATATATAATAATGAGAATGAGCTCAGGCATGAATGCACTTAATGGCATTAACAAAAAGTACAATTTTAAAATATCCAAGAAGAGAACTATCATAGCATTTTACAGAAAATTTCCTATCCGAGGGAAGTTTCTTATTTAGGACAAGATTATAGAAAAAGTTTCAGACTTGAATTATCAGAGTTATGTCATTTAAATACAAAAAAAAAGATGTAATCAGTAAAATGTAAGATATCAGTCAATATAATGACATTACAAAGACTTTAAAGCGTAAAGAAATGACACAATTTAGATTATACTGTACCGTACTGTACTGTATTGAAATACAATTTAGCTAATGACAAAGAGAGATGAAAGCAAGATATTGCCGGTAAAATTTCACCAGATAGGAAGAAGAATGATGCTATTAGAGAAGACCTGCATGTAACAACTTCCATTTATTTTCCCATAATTTTTTTCTCACATCAATCAGTATAATTAGTGCTGGACCATTTGCACTAACATTCTTACAGCTGTAGAATATTCATCATTCCAGGTTGTGCCTATGAAAACATTAAGGTTGCCACTGCAAGTTACAATTTTTGGTAGTGATGCCAAGGAGCATCAGTATTTGGTCAAATTTGGGGAGGATCTTCGTCAAGACCAGAGAATTGAGCAGCTGTTCAACCTAATGAATAAAATACTAGACCAAGATCCTACTTGCAGACATAGGAACTTGTCAATAACAACTTACCAGGTACTGAGCAGTGTGCACTTGATGTTGACTATAGTTCCTTTAACTTAGCATATTCTGTTAGTGTAAACTGTACAGGAGGCTGGGACTGACTGTAGCAATCAGGAAGGTGACACCAGTTAGAAGAGTGAACAGATATTACTGGCTGGGAGTATCAAGGAATATACCAGAATCATATTATTGTCAAAATTAAGAAAGAGATCATATTTTTATTTCTGTGTCTGTGTGTGTGGACTGGGATAGCCCAGTCATTATAATGACAAGCTATGGACTGGATGGCTAGAGTTTTAATTCCCAGAAGGGCCACGAGGTTTTTCTCTTTTCTACACCATCCAGCCTCTTATCCAGTGGACACTGGGTGCTCTTTCCCTGGGGTAAAGCAGCTGGTCTGTGAAGCCAAGTTCAAGAATGGTGGGAGCTATACCACCACTCCCTCATATGTCTCCATGGCATGGGACAGCATTACTTTACCTTATACAGTATATGTGGTAGCTTCAGAATTCTCAGAAAAGAGCCAGACCTTGTAACCAACAATACTAAGAAATCCTTAAGCATAGTTGTCTTCAAAATATTGTCCTTTAGTAGCTACACACTTTTACCAGTATTTGTTCAGTATGAAATATTTCTGAAAGCCACCATGTACAAGTATAATCTTCTGCAGCGCATTCTCTGAAGCCCCCTGAACCTTTCTTGCATCCTTGAAATGACAGCTCATGATGCCTATAAAGAAAAAAAATGGTGCAAGGAAGGGAGGTTACAGTGCATGAAGTACCATAGCACCATCCTTGACCAGTTTATAACGCTCAGTCAGTATCCATTGTTCTGACGGTTCTGACACAGTATCATGCACAAGCACTCAAAATCTGGCCGCATACATTTCAGGATGCCTCATGTGAGTTAGCTGTTGTGAGTGGGTGAGCATCCCCTTGTTGACTGTAGAACTATCAAGAATAAACTCGTGGTGCAAAACACCTGCTAGTTGATAAAGACTTCTAACATCACATTACCTTTGAGCTGTGCTGCTGGAACTTCGTGGCTAACTGCAACAGTGACTACTTCCATAACTTTATCGTTGTGCTGGACACCTTTGACAGTTATGCTGAGAATCTCTGGATTATTATCTGCTGCACTGATGAGCCATGGGCCTTATACTGCTGTTGCATCGTTCTTATATCAGGAACCTTGGTATTTGTTTTGACAGACATAGTGCACCTTCAGATCCTTATTTAGGATTTTGTGGCAACTACTTGCCAGATTATTTACATTTCTCTGAAATGGTCTCTATGATTTGATGATAAACAGAATGGACACTCTTCATTCCAGTGTTATAGGCCATCCTCTGCATAAGCCAGTATCTGATGATTCATGACTGTCTGAAGCATCTGCAGCATTTCTTTCGATTTTCTCACTATCTGGGAAAATTTCCCCATTTTCACATTTTATGTATGCTGTGGTGTCCTTTTGAAGCTATCACATCTGTCATTGTAGTGGCAGCTGAACAATGTTGATTTGTAGGGGGCATACATGTTGAGATATGCATAAGCAGGCTCCAGCTTACCTGCCATGTCAGTCAGTTTTGAAGCTATCACAAAAACAAACAAACTATGTCGTTCTAGTCCGCAAGCAAACTGTACCGACCGAGTGACCGCCGCTTATTGGTGAATTTAGTGCCATGCGCTGACCACGTGACACCTTCTATCCCCTAAAGTTGAAGCTACCACATATGAACTTAAAACAGAAATAAATCATGTCATTCATAATGTAACCTCAAATATATACAGCAAAATCACTTTTTGACCCATCAGCAACGGAGGGTTTCAGTCTATTCAAATAACTCTACAGAAAGAGTGATAAGGCTTTAAATTCACAAATGATACATGCTAGGAATAAAATGACTGGAACCTCTAAAATCCTAATAACATTTCATTCATGTTTTATAGACATGTCATGTAATATCTGTATAATATGAAAATGTAATTTTCAATGTTACTGTGACTGATCTTGGTATGTTAGAACTAGAAACATCTGCAATGGATCAATATCCCAATTAATACATAAGCACTCCAAACACAACATAAGTTTCATCCACTGTCTCTCTACAAGACATCTACAGATCACTGTTTGAACTCATAGATGAAGATTGGTTTCTGTTGTTATGAATTGTTTGGCATAATGGTTGGTCTGGGTTGCTGTATCTCTCAGAATTATTTATTCAGAAACCATTCAATAATTTCCAAATTTAATTTGTGTTCTTTGCTGTGACCTGGTGAATAATTTCTCTGTCATCTGTAATTTGATATGCCTTCCCATCCAAAATCGGTCACCATAAGCACTCTACATTTTCATCGTCATCATCATTCACTATTTTGCACTGATCAGCATATAATCATCCATAGAATATTTACTGTTACTGCCCAAATGTAATAAATTTTATTCTGGGTCACATGTTTGTGAACCTTGAGCCCACTGTTACTCTGATGGCACAGTTGTCCTTTGTGTTACTAGTGGCTGCCACAATGATTAATGCTGATGTAAGGATTTCTTCATTTAGTGTCTTTTGCATTCCTGTTAATTCTTCTGTTAAGGTATTTAGCCTCACAAGGAAGGTAACTGCTATTTCTAAATGCCAGAATGAACACAGTGAAATTACAGTACATGGCTGATCCTTTTGTCACTCCTATCACAGTACAGAAAATAAAGCAGACAAGGTGATAGTTTCCTGAATGGTAGAAACCTGTTTGACTTTTTCTTGGATTACACTTTCTTGCATCAGACTGACTGAAGAGCTTCAGTTTCCTTTACTGAGCATTCCCCCATTTCATATTTATACCGCTCAAGGTTCAATTGGAACATACATAAGAAACCAGTTATTTAACATTGTCTTGTTTCAGGTTGTTCCTCTTAGCAGTCACCTTGGGATTATACAATGGGTGGATGGCACAGAAGCTCTGAAAGGTCTTATGTTGGGTGTCCTCGACAAAAATGAGAAGGAATCTTAGTAAGTTCAACCATGTAGAAGTAGTATCATGTATTTGTTAAATTGTGTTACACTAACTACTAGGATATTATTTAATTACTAGCTGTGCCCGGCCACGCCTTGCTGTGGCTCAGTCTGCCCGTTCTTCCCCAGTTTGATTTGCAGTTACTCAACGCATTGCTTCCGCTCCGCGAGTAGGATGACCTAAGCTTATTCTTCTGCGAGGCATTATTTGGATGAACTAAAGCAACTGTTATTGCATAGGGAATGCTAGCACAGAACACCTTGTAGAAGTGTTTGGTTTCATCCGTTGTTACGCAACAGAACCTCAATTCCTATGCAATGACCCACTGTTATTGCATAGGAAATGCTAGCACAGAACACCTTGTAGAAGTGTTTGATTTCATCCGTCGTTACGCAACGGAAACTCAATTCCTATTCAATGGCCCGCTGTTATTGGGTTTCCATGGAAGTATACTTTCTGCTTTCATCCGTTGTTATGCAACGGAATCTAAGCAACGGTCTGTTCTAGCGTTACTATGGAAACGACTCGTGGATTCCGAACATGTGACATGTTTTTACCTGTTTTTACCTGTCACAGGCGTGACATCTACATACCGACGAAATATTTCAAATCAAACGCAGATCAATCGACACAGCTCAATCCCACCGCCAATTGCACCGAAAAATAAGGAGAACAGTTAAGAAAATGAAATGAAAAACAATGAAAAATAAACTATACTCACGAAATAACGTAACTTCCACGCACGTCTCGGATTCAGTGAGTAAGTTATTGAATGCTCACTTTTACACCAGCGAGTACAATTATTATCACGTCCAGTATCACCGAAAAACTCTTCGGAGCTGGACTATTATAACCCGGTTTCGGACGCAATAGAGGGCACTTTCGCTCAGGGTTCCATTTCACGTGTTCTGTGCTCGTTGCCGCAGAAATGCATTATTTCCGCTGTTTCAACAGTTCGTTCCCACGGTTATTCCTAGGCAACGATCTGTTTCAACAGTTCGTTGTCACAGTTATTCCTAGGCAACGATCTGTTGGTATTCGATGGACGATGTATAACACGTTACAGTATATTAATATTAAGTACAATTAATACTTTAACAACCAACCAACTTGTCACAGGTGTGCCATCTACATAATAGGTATATAAAAACATGCGTGTATTCGAATGCAATGTTCTATCAAAATTTTGAAGCAGTCGGTGAAGAACTTTCGGAGATCTTCGACCAGAGACAAACCAACAGTTACGTTTTTATTTATATAGATATCACACAAATTTTTTAAGTCTGTTTATATGTATATCTGTAAGAGAGTGTTTTGTAACCTTTTCTGTGTGGTGACCCACTAGACTGCAGTCCAGGATCTTGTAGCAGACCAAATCAATATTATGTAAATTTCTGTTTATGTTATAAAGGTTAATTAACACCATCCAGTATGACTGATAAAATGTTTTTTTATCCTTGACATGTTTTGGTCTTATAGACCATCTTCACAAGGATATCAATACAATCAGAAACCACTATTACAGTGTGTTTTGTGAGTATTAATATGTACATACAATGTCATCATAATACAATAATTTAACAACTATCGGCATGTACTAATACATTAAAATATTTATAAATTACAGTTGCAAAGGGTGTTAAGAACTGAAGTAGTAAATAAAAACTTCAACAGTCACACTGGACGGAGTTGTATCTTTTATAATACAGTTAGTTTGTTTAAAAAGACTTTGTTAATTTTTTTAATCAAATTGGTTCATGTCCTTCTTATTTCTCTTTCTTTGAAGGAAGTCAAGTGTCTGCCACTTTGTGGTTCCGCTGTTTGGAGAATAGGATTCTTTTGTCGCCCTGTTGTTGTTTGTGGCACACTGTGTTGTTACCAGGATGAACCAAATCAAATTATGTACTTGATTTTCCACTTCATTTAAGGCAATGAACTTTTTTCCATGAAATATATGAAAATGGATAGCCATAGGCTATCAACACATTAACAATAGAATAAATTTTCAATTTTTTTTTTTTTCAATTTGACAGTTCCTTTCAGTGCTTCCCCATTTACAGCCTTTACTTCAGCTTCACCACTTCATCACTGACCTTTCAGCAAATATATGAGGTGTAAAACATTTGAAATAAATTTGTAAGCTAGCTGTAAACCTATTAACGTCTTTTGTTATTCACTCATTTTCAGTAAGAAGTCCTGTGAAGAGCATTGCAAATGGATATCTAAGCCATGTAATCCGCAGTGCAGCTTTTATGAAAAGTATGGTGAGGCACACATGAAGTACTCTCCAGAGGAAACCAGTGCTGAATTCAGAAAGAAAGTGAATATGATACCTTGGGACATCATGAGGTAGGTCCTATTACACAATGATCCAGTGTTTCTTTTTCAAATTTACTAGTGGGGGGTGGAGTCCAGCTGGGTCCACTCGGCATGGCGGCCACTGATTAGCCTATTGTACCTGCCCCGGGTGATTATGATGATGGAGAATTTGGTGGAATGAAGATTGGCAGGGGAAACCGAAGTACTCGGAGAAAACCCGCCCCAGCGCCACTTTGTCCACCACAAATCCCACTTGACCAGACCCGTGATTGAACCCGGGCTGCTGTGGTGAGAAGCCAGCAACTAACCGCTTGATCTATGGCACGGCCTTATGATCCAGTGTTAATTTGCTAGGGATATGTGAATAGTTTTAATTATATTTAGAAATTTTTGTGAAGTGTGTGTGTGAAATTGATATTTGAAGTTGACAGAATGAACTTCCAGGTTCTTCCTCATGTACCTTATCACAGTTGCCAGTTGCACATATTTTTTAAAATTCTGATTCCGTATTACAGATTGCTACAAAAATGTTGCTGCTATTCATGGACCAGTAATTTTTTACATTCCTGATGCACAGTTAGGCAGGGATTGAGGGCAGTATGGTCTTGCTTATTCTGTGGTTTGTTGTGTTGTAAATTTTCTGTGTCTCTGTAGTTCTTAAAATTTGAATTGTACCCATTGCATCAACATCACTACTTATAAATTTAATTGTAGGATTATATATTACTTCAAATGGAGTAGAGAGATTTCAAGTACAGTCAACTCTCGATTATCCGGGCTAATGGTGGGGATGGAAGTCACGGTTAATCGAAAACCCGGTTAAGCCAAATTTTATTATACGNGGCTGTCCATATAACAGAAAATTCTGGCTTCCAGTGAACACCTCACACATATATCAGTAAATCTGGCCCCTCTGAATTTTTATGTGGGATTTACTTTGTACATGTTTTTATCATTTCATGTTGATGGCAAGTAACAAAAGGTAAAGCTATCCCTGTAACAGCCCATGGAGTCCCATAGGGTTGTGAGACATCGAGACTTCCACAGTTTCTAGACAATCGGCTCACAGATTGCCATGAGGTTGTCACTCTTATGCGCTGGCTGCCCTTTACCACCCAGGAAGATTCCTGGTACTTATTTCTGTTAGAGGCTGAATTGACCCCAGGGCCATAGTGCAGCTAGGAGGATTAGGTCAATTGAAAAATTTGATGACCTCATCGGGAGTTGAACCCACTACCTTCCAGCTTGTAGCATAGTGCCTCATCCAACTAAACTACCATGTGTCCCAACTGAACATAGTTTTGTTGGTAATAAGACCCTAATGTAATTGTGGTAATATATATAGATGCTGTACTTATTGTTTTATAGGCGTGCACTTCAGCGTTTGAGTGTATCTCCAGAGTCATACTTCATACTTCGTCAGAGTTTTGCGTGTAGCTATGCAGTATTGTGCATAGCACACTGGCTACTGGGGATTGGTGATCGCCATTTGAGCAACATTTTGGTGTCAGTGAAAGATGGACGGTGTGTGGGTATTGATTTTGGTTCTGCATTTGGGACAGCAACACAGTTCCTACCTGTACCTGAATTAATGCCCTTCAGACTTACACCCCATATTGTCAGCTTATTGCAGCCACTGGAAGAAACAGGTAAGTCAAACTGACATATGCAATAAGATATTTTTAGTATGGTTTTAGAGGAGGTTTTAAGGAGAGGTATTTCAGATCTCTGGGTTTTGTCACTGTGACTGAACTTTTCATTATACAAAGAATATTTAAGACAGAATTGTTCAGCTATTGTCATAAAATGGAAAAGTAAATTAATTGCAAGCTCTGCGTGGTCACAGTGTCCATTTACATTCCACAGGAAACCCTGAGATGACATTACAGCTGCTTTACTTCAAGTGCTTTGTGCATAATTTTGACTGGTAGAGATTCTCACCATGTTCACCAATAAATATTTATCTGTTTTTCACCTTTAGCTGCCAAAAACTGAACAATACAATTTATTTTTAGTTTAATACATGATTCAACATTGCCATTTTTTGAACTGTGATGTTAGGTATATCTGTGTTAACATATTTACATTAGCCTCAGTGAATGTACAGGTTGCATGTCAAGACAAAAGAAAAAATTATGTTATAGGAAAACAATTGTTTTATTTGAATTACTCAGTAAAATAAGGGCAGCATACTAAAAGCTATATTAACAAAATTTCACCATACACAATTTTGGGATATCAGATTGCATAGTATCTGTTGTTTTCTTGTTATGCATGGAACTTGTCATTATCATGTTTACTTTCATCTGAATTGGAGTCGCTGTATGCAAGAAATTCATAATTTATCATAAAAAGTTAATCAGTTCCGTGACTAGTCACACTGGACAGAACTGATTAACTTTTTATGATATTGTTAGTGTGATGGACCAGAATGAAACAAATCAAAATCCTAATTTATTTTCACATAGCACCAATCCTTCCACAGTCCATCATCTTGAAATGACTTAATTTTGATTTGGATTCATTAACTCTTTCATTTTCCATTTTAGTCTCGTTTTGCTATACTAACACACTTTTTTTTAATCTTGTGTGCAGTTAAAACCAAGACATTTCCATGGATTATGTTTATCTGATTTAATATTTCCATCACAACTATTTTGTATACTTTTAATGAAGTCTGAGTCTTTTAAAATCCACATCTGTTGATACATAGCAAGTTATATGTTCAATTATACTTTACCGTTGTGTCTAGGATTGTTTCGTGAAACTATGATTCATTGTTTGCGTACCCTACGCAACAACTATGATATGCTGCTGGCTACAATGGAGGTGTTTGTACAAGAGCCATCAATTGACTGGCTGGAATTTGCCTCTAGACATGAAAGTCTAAACAAGAAGTCACATGAAGGTAATCTTGCTGCTTATTTGCAAAAAGTTTCAATTTGAAAGTATTTGACATAGTCCATTATTATTATTATTATGGAAGAATTTTCTTTGGATGATGTCTTGGAGGTAGGCTGTGTTTCTTAAATTAGAAAGAAAGGGTATGTATTCCAAAGGGCCTTTAGATGGGAATATTCCTTATTACTAGACACACTAAATATCAAAGCACGTTTATATAGAAGGGAGATAGCAAGAAGAAATTAACCATAGTACTTCATAGGTTATGAGAAGGCATCAGGTCATGAAGAAACAGGCCTACCTGGAAACAGAAAAAGCAGGGGAAGCAGATGTTTGTAGATGGAGGGTTGTCGTGACATGGTTGGTACACATGTGGTGTCTGAAGCCCTTTGCTAGTTGGGGCTTGTGTAGGATCCACAAATGCTACTTTTACCTTAGGGTTTTCTTCTGTATCCTTGCATGTCATAGACTGCTCTGCTTTAGTATTTCTGCTACATTGCATGTAACCACATCAGTAATTTATATTATTCTTTTAGAGTCGCAAACCTGGTACCCTCAGCAAAAACTAGACTTGGCTAAACTGAAGCTGGAGGGTGCAAACCCAGTGACTATTACTACTGAAGAGTTAAAAGCAGGCTTCAAGGACTCCAAATACCTTGCAAAGTTCCTGGAATGTGTGAAAGGCCACAACAGTGTGAGATCCCAAATGCCATCGTATCAGCTATTGCCAGAGGAGCAGGTTTGAATATATGACTGTTACTGTTGTGAATTTTTATTTCCTTTTAGATATCAAAATTTCCAGAAGTATGTGTTTAGGGAAAGTGGTCATTTCATCTATCAAATTTAGTTTACCAGAATTCATCTGGCATGTGGAAGTAATGTAAAAAAATAAAAACCAGTTTGTGTCTTGCTCTGATGTTGACATGAAATTGTAACTATGAAGCTGATTATACAGGATGTGTAGCTGTTGCATTACTTTCTTCTCTAGCATAGTTGTAATGCCATCCACCACATTTTGCATCAAAATGATACAAGTAAAATATAACCAAGCTATATTAATTTATAAGTACTTACAAAGCTGAAGACTTCTGTCTCCTTCATAATGCTATGTAATTTTAAATTGAAGGGTACATTGAAGCCTACTTTATATCTCCTAAGCTCCCTCTTCATCCCGAACTTCTGCACGCCCCTTTCCTGTTTGAATTTATAAAGTTATATTATATATTGTCATATTCATTCATTTTTAGGTTGACAGTCTCTTGGATCAAGCTACAGATTACAACATCCTGGGTAAAACCTGGCAAGGATGGGAACCTTGGATGTGAGTTTGGTCTTCATTGAAATTACTGTTGATTTGATGGAACATGTGAGATGTGTCAAAATAACAATCCCATTAAAAATGGCGCAGTTGTTGTGCAACTTTGTTACCACTGTTTACTGTTGATTTACATACATATACTAGTAGAACACTGTAATGATAGTATTATTTTGGCATTTATGAACCATGAGTTACTTGTAAATTTTGTAATGTTTAGAACTACTGCATTTTAATTCCTACCAAAACAGATGAAAACAGAAAAGAGCATTTAATACAGTAATTATGTAGAGCAGTGATTCTGAGCCTTTTGCATCTTTTGTCCCACCAGTCATTTGGCCAAAGACCACAGTCTTAAAATGCCCAGTCTCATAGTAAAAACAAAGCTTCTCCTTTTCCTACAACTGTATACATTTTAGCACTGTATTAATCCTTAACAGAAATTCTAATTTTCATGTCCCACCAGTTGAGAAACACTGATCTTGGGGCACAACATAATGGCTATTTATTTGTGTAACACTAATGTTGTGCTCTTTTTCCATTTAATTATTTGACACATATTTACCATTGTTAACAGTCATTAAATTTGTATGTGTATAATATAATTTGCAACTGCTAAATGTTTTATGTAATCTGTAAATTAAATTTCTAGATACCTATACCCAATCTGAATCATTCCTATGTAATTTGGTCTTAAAAATGTTTTGATAAGCAACCCCTCAGATATATGTGAATGCTAATTATCTTGATATGTATGCTGTGATGATTCAGGATTATCTCTATAAGACTGAACTAATGTTACCGTTTGATTTGAAGTATGAGTTAACTTGTGTTAAAGACACATGTATGGAAATGTTTTGTACCAATAAATTCTTCTGGCATCATTTTCATTTTATTGTACAGTTCAATGCATAAAGTCTCCAGTCTCGTCTCTCTTCTCAGTGTTTTCTTATTGATTTCTTGCTCTTTCCTCTCTTCCTGATGTCTTCCAGTACCTGGCTGAACCATCTTATTCAAATTTAAATTCTAATATCCTTCTGACTTTCCTTGTTCTCATGAGAGGTAATTCATGAAAAGCTTTCCTGCTTTAGAGACATAAGAGTTTCACTTTTGATGATGATATGCATAAATAAAGGCCTGTGACCCATCATAAACAAGATAATTTTGGATACAACAGGCTGAAACAAACATGTACATAAATTATTTAACAGTCATGACCCACTGCCTAAATCACCCAAACACAATACCCAATATTTAAGGGAGGGAAAGCTTATGATAGTGTGGTTGTCTTGAAGTGGGATGAACTCTTGAAGAGTGTTCTGTCTCATGCGATATGATACCTTGTAAGCCACTGTAAGTCAACTGATGTTTCGAAGGAACATGTTGCCTCCAACTTCAAGGTTGAAGAATAGGCCGAGCAGGGTGGCAAGCAGAGCTCTGCTTTCATGCTGGTTTCTTGAGTGGCTTATTCTTTGACCTTTAAGATGGAGGTAATATGATCCTTCGAAATATCAGTAGAATTTAAATGGACTACACAGCGTTATATCAAAGAAGATGGAATTCTTCACAAGTATTTACTGCTGTGGAGAACCTCAAATCCTGGATAAACTCATTATCCAGTAGTATAAAGACGGCTTAATGTAAGATAAACAGAATTGCTGTAATCGTATCACAGTGTAAGGAACATTTCTAGTCCAAATACCACTTTGTTTGGAGTCTGGCATATTGAACCATAAGCAGAATTTTATGAAAGAAATTTAAGTTTAAAGAGTAGTTCCTTGCCACCTGTTTCATGCTGGTTTCTTGCTCAGGTTATACTTCAGTGCTGAAGATGGAGGTGACATGTTCCCCTTTGATTGAAATTCTGTCAATCAGTGGTTTGTTTCTGTCTCTCCTACATTCTGGGGTACTACCTTCAAGCATGTCACGAATGCCTCCTTCCACCATCCTTAACATACCATGCGTGATTAACTATCAGTGTTACAGTACTAATGTGAAATAAAGTACAAATTTTTTCATCACGAAACATGCGAAGTTCATATACTTTTATTTTATTTTATATACACTTAGTTCAATTACTGCGTAAAAGAATTTCAGTCATATTCTTTGTGGTATATATACATATATATACACACACACAGGGTGGAGCAGAGGAACGCGTGTTTTTCACATAAGAATAACTGATTTTCAAGATAAAGTCTTTTTAATTACACAAAAAATAAGGCATTTTAATGCATTTTTAACTTACATTACGTATGGAAAGTAATGCCCAGTCAGATGACATCCTTGCTGGACACACATTCGGAGCCTCTCTTCAAAATTCTGCATCACATTCTCCAACATGTCTTCTGGCAGAGCTGCGATTTCTTGATGAATGGAAAGTTTCAACTCTTGGATCGTCTGTGATCTGTTCATGTACAGTCTTCCCTTGAGGTATCCCCACAAAAAAAAGTCACAAACTGATAGATCAGGGGAGTGTGGGGGCCAAGAAACATCACCGAAATGGGAGATCACATGTTTGGGAACATGCGTCAAACAACTTCCATTGATGCTGCATCCAGAACTCCTAAGGCTCAGGTAAACCTGATACAAGTGTGGTTCCAACAGGATGGTGCCAAAGCTCACACGGTGAGAGCATCGATGGAAGTTGTTTGTCGCATGTTCCCCCAACATGTGATCTCCCGTTTTGGTGATGTTTCTTGGCCCCCGCGCTCCCCTGATCTATCAGTTTGTGACTTTTTTTGTGGGGGTACTTCAAGGCAAGAGTGTACAAGAACAGACCATGAACAATCCAAGAGTTGAAACTTTCCATTTGTCAAGAAATTGCAGCTGTGCCGGAAGACATGTTGGAGAATGACATGCAGAATTTTGAGGAGAGGCTCCAAATGAGTGTCCAGCAAGAAGGACGTCATCTGACATTATTTTCCATATGTAATGTAAGTTAAAAATGCATTAAAATGCCTTCTGTTTTGTATAATTAAAAATGTTTTATCTTGAAAATCAGCAAAGTTAATCTTATGTGAAAGACATGCATTTCCTCTGCTCCACCCAGTATATATACACACACACACACACATATTACAGTCATAATTAAAATTACCAGTGATTGTAACTTTTTTGTGATCCTGCACCAAAATATATAGGCTGTACATTCTACAGCAAGATACGAGATAAATTCATTAAGATGATCATAAAAGCCAGTAGATGGTGGGCTTTTGTGATTATTATGATCAGCCTTCATGTTTCATATGATTGGAATTTCTTCACTCGCTGATACACATCAACAGCTGAAGGATGACCTTATATCATGAATTTAATTATTTCCTTCATAATGCTATAATTCCTCAAATAATAAATAAAATACTGATCTCTGTGATTTAGGGTTCAGAAGGAGATGCAAAGGAAAGAAGTTTAGCTTATGATACAAAATATGATTTATCTCTCTTTCTCTGGGTCAGAGCAGAGATTTTCCTTGTGCACTGAAAGGAGATGTCAAAGTGAATATGGTCTCTGATACATCATGTATACTGAAGTGGTGGAATTTGATACCATGGGGTAGCACATAAGGGATCACATTCAGTAACTGCATTTGGAGGATAACTGCTGTATTACTTTAAACAGGAGCAGCATTACTGAAATCCACACACCATATAAACCAAATCATGTCATAGTTTGTGTAGGCAACCTCATGGAAGAAATGTTCTGCGTAATTATGTCTGAATTTCCCACTGGCATATGCATACAGGAAGCATGTTAAAAACAAAATCTAGTACCTTTTTAATGATCACATAATGGTCTGCATCACTTACTGACAATGCTGCAGCCTCATTCCATAGCAGATGGAGTATACACACTTTTCTCATCTCAAAATTAACTCTTCTGTGGTCCAGTGCTAAACAGAATGTATATGAAATCCATGGTGTATGATACTAAGGGACTGCAAAGTTTTAAGAAAAGAAAGTGGTGAATTTATTCTTTCTAATTGCTTCACTGATGTGGAAGAAAATCTTCCAGTTATGTCCTGGAACTATTCTCTTTACAAGCAGGGGCCCTCTTTTCTTAAAATATCTGCTTTGCAGGGTGCCTGATGTGTTTCGTAAACTTGTGAAAACAGAAATCCCATTTGATGATTTTTATAAATACCCTGAAACTTTCTATATCTTCTAATGTTTACAGTATCTCAGTTTGTTTGGGCTCTTGAGATATCTTACAAATCTGCCACTGAAGGAATTGATATTCAGCTGCAAAATAAATTTTGTCATAAACAGCATGTACAAGAGCAAACATCTGTACTGACAAAGAATGAAGGAGAATACCACAGTTCGGTTCGCTACAATAATGAGATAACAGCAGACATACAAGATTCAAATGCATTAGCAGCAATGCAGTCTTCTTTCAGTCTGCTGGCTTACATTACCAAGGAAATACCCACTTCTATGAATGTAATGCTTTACACATTTTTCATCTACCTGGTAAGACATTTGCATCATCAGATGTTTTCGTATAACATAGTAGTTTTCAAATTATAAATCCATATAAACCAGGATACAGTTTATCTGGATGACACACTTCTTTAATCACATTTAGTCCTTCCCAATGCTTCCAGGCTTCCTTTGAGGTCATTGCTTTGCCATAAACGCTGAAAATGCTGACGAGTAAAACTGAAAGAGTAAGTTATTTATTTGTTAAAGTATCAGAAAGAAATAGAGTAGCAGGTTTTAATAGATATTCAAATAACTGGTATGAAAAAAAAAAAAGGAATAAACCAACCCTAACAAAGAAATCTGACACTTATTTCGGTTGAATAAAACTTTCAATATTATAAGAGGTGAAGAAGAAGTGAGGGGATCCATTAGAAATCCATATACTCTATTTGGCATAGACACATTAAAAAACAGAAACATGGAGCCTTCCTTAACGTGTACTGCAACAAAATGATGGGAAGTCCAGTAGGATATTATGTGGAAATGAAGAGTTAAGACCATACCTCATTAGATAATTTTTACGACGTATTTACGGTATGGACATGTAACCTACGAACATAAACCTATCAAGATATGATGTGTACATATAATGTAACATTTGAGGCATGTTCATATATTGCATCCTGCTGTTTTGTTCACTTAGTTCTTACAGTCCTAGTTTACTTTCTGTGTCACCTTGGGTTTAGACTGGGAACTGCTATGAAATTACTGGATGGCACGGCCATGGCTTCACTCCCATGGCAACTCCAGTGTGCTCTTGCCAATGGCATACAAGACAGAATGAGATATTCTCAAGATACACATCAGGGTCTTTGTGTAAAATGTACATTATTCTTATATGATTTTAACCAAAACTGAATTATGTTGACAGACTTCAGTAAGACTCCATAATATAAAATATAAATATTCATCCAGTGGGAGCCAAGATGCTCCATGCGGACAGACAGATATGATGAAGCTAAGAGGTGAGAGGCCTCTGTGGTACAGTGGTCAGCATTCCTGGCTACAGATCCAGAGGTCTCGGTTCAATTCCCAGTGCTACCAGATTCTTTCTGAGAAGTGGGTCTGGAACGAGGTCCATTCAGCCTCGTGATGATAACTGAGGAGCTATTTCAAGGAAATAGCGGCTCTGGTCTAGAAAACCGAAATTAATGGCCATGGGGATTCGTTGCACTGACGACATGACACCCTCTATCTGCAAAAGTTGGCACTAAACTTTGCTGACAAAGCGGCGATCGATCAGTCGGTATAGTTCGCTTGCGGATTAAAATCACGGAGTTTGTTCGATCAGACAAATAGGGAGAAGAATTCTGTGGAACTAAAGTGGACTACAGCAAAGAAGAGATTGTGGAAATATGTTTGTTCCAGATAAATGTACTTAAATATAACAATAAAATTATGGCCATATAAATACAGTATCTTGTAGTCAAAATTTCTAGAATCTGTTATTATGAGCTACATCTGAAGCATATTAATTACCATATCTTTTTATGCTCATGGTAAAAGTGTGTCTTTACCTCCTTTAAGTAAATCTCTAATGCACAAGAAGACTTTGAAAGTGAAGCATATACAACAATTTAGTACTTAATATTTTGGTAATATTTTAGAGTTTGTTGTTGATCTTAGTCACAAGTCCTTGGAAATGTGATACTATCTTACCATTTAGAATTTGCCCATGATTCTAGCATTACAGCCTTTTTTGAGGCTGACTGTAGTATAAGTGGTGGCAGGTTAGCTAGCCGTGCTACATTCAGTCCATAGCTACGTCCTGCTGATCCACTAGTAACCTCATAAAGAAAAGTTAATTCTTCAGGGGACTCATCTTCTGGAACAGTTAAGATAAGCTGTATGCAATCATCTTAAAAGTATAAAGCTTCATGACTAAATTTTACATACACGATTTATCCTAACTTATGGAACATCTAACAAATGCTGAACTGTTCTGTAAGGCACTACCATAATTACACTAGAAGCAAAAGGAAAATACAATCAGGAATCTACCTTACTTCAAAACTGTGACAGCCATTTAACATGACATGTTACAACATGAACATTGTTCCCTAATGGGTTCCTACCTAGGCAATTCTGCACACACTTAACTGAACAATAAAGTTTGGTCCCAATCTGTTCTTAAGCAGTGAGTTAAAACAAGGATGCACATTAACTACATTGTACCTTTATCATGGACTAAGAAAGCCATGTGGTAGTTTCGAGCTCGCCCTACATACTGGTGCTCCAATTCCATCACAGCTGGATAGTGAGTTACAAACAGGGTCAAGCACTGTACCTGTATATGTAAAACAGATTATGCATGCCAAATACAAAACTTGAGGAAACAGTTAAACGAGCACAAGATAAGGAATGTACAAATTTACCTCCTAAGGTCTCACACTTACTATGAATATCAATGATCGTTATCATTTATAAGTTTCTATATTTTATCATGGATATTGTCTTATCAACAATGTGTCATCATCCTCATCACTATCACCACCATCACTGTCATTTAGTTTTATTAGGTTGGTCCATTGCCAAGGCCTGAATTCAGAATTAGTGTTGCCATCTTTTACAGTTTTCATCTTTTGCCGTTTGATTTCTAATTTAATCAGTTATCCCAGAGCCTATGATAGTCTTTTGTAATCCTACTTCAACACTTTACCTCTCCTGTTTGCTTACTTACTTACTCATGGAGCTGAGCCCTTCTTGAGAAGCCACCAGTTGTGCAGCTACTCAAGAATTTCCCAGCATTTTATGGAACCCGAAGGTTCATTACCATGTTCACAAGAGCCCTCCACTGGTCCCTATCCTGAGCCAGATCTATCCTCTCCTATTTAGAGTTCAAAATTCTATTTTATATAATGTGGGCACAGTAATTACTTTACAAAACTTTAAAATCATGTCTGTTCTCGCCTTTTCATAGACCACTGTTATAGCTGTGGATTTATATACTTTTCACTGAGCTGGTAAGTCACTGGATAAGTAAAGCATGCCACTATCGTCATAACCTGTGTTTCATCCTTCAGAGGAAGCGATCATAGCCATGCAAAATGACAGATAAGAGTTATAGACATATGAATCATCAGGGTCTGCTAAGCTGTTGCTTCATGGTATGGTTAATGTCTCCAGATGTGGTTTTATCAGTCCTGTTGTCATCAATAATGAAGTAATCTACATCTACATATTTCACCATCTATGATGGATGATAGCTGACAAGAAGGATCTCCAAACATCAGTGCTGACCTGGTATCCACATTAACAAAGCCTTACCTTTGTCACATATGGGGAAAGGAAAAAAAACATGCATAGAATCTGGGTGGTCTCTGACCCAGTACTTTGGGCACAAATCCAGTACCTCATCACTATTTTGGAAAGCACAGAAGAAAATAAAAGGTTCTGCCTGATCTTTCTTGACTGTTTTTCCATTCCTTAAATTCAAACCTAATATGTCCAGACATGCCAAATGTGTTGGTTTAAAGACTGGCTCAGTTCAGTGCTCATGTTTAGGGTTTATGCTTTATGGATTCAATTCAATTCTTTACTTTTTTACTTCCTTTATATAAGGGATTCTTTAATTCAAAATTTTGTCAATTTTCAATACTATGTCAGATACTGGATAACACTTTTACTTTTTCTGTGCAGACTTAAATAACTATCAATACTTCATACAATCACTAAGCATATCATAAAAATAATAGGCACAATATGTTTATGATGCCAGAATCTGTAACCTGCTCAATCAATGTGAGGTGCATGACCATGTGGCCCTTTTTATGAATCATTTAGAATTAACTTTGTAATTATGAATCCATACTAAACAGAGGAAAGTTTATGAAACATTACAGAAGAAAGCATTAATACCTGTGTCAAGAGGTGGTATAAAGTAGCAATGGCGATAGAGGTTCCATCACAAGAGCTTGTGCCACGCCCAAGTTCATCCAGCAGCACCAATGAACGAAAAGTTGCCTTACGCAGAATGACTGAGGCTTCTGTCAGCTCCAGCATCAAAGTGCTTCGTCCTTGAAGCAATTCATCCCTAGCTCCCATACTGACAAGAAAATTAAAACAGATGTCAAGCAACTTTTCTGCCTGACTATAATTAACATGTGTGCAAATATTTTGTCATTTTCATACTGAATCTTGATGCAGTTAACACTTAAATAAATACAACTTTTTCAGAGAAAACATTGTTCCATGCAATACAAGCTTGTGTAAAAACAATTTCAATAATCTTGGTCTTCGTCTTCTAAACCACCTACCGCAATACATTAAAGAGATACCAGCATTATGTAAATTTAANGCATTCTGCTGCTACAGAACAGCCCAGGGTATATAAATTTCCCTTTCCTGTTATATTAAATGTTCCACTTTTTTATATTAATTTACATACATACATCAGTGTTTCAGAGTATTCATAAGTGTGCAACTGGCACTGAATATAAAACTTGTCAAACAACAGTCACAGATAAAATCACAGAGACAATTCAACCATAGTTAAAATTTAAACTGAATACATCAATTAAATAGATACAATGCTACATATACAATTACACCAACAAGATAATTAGCAATACATAACAATTCGCCTTCCTACTCACATACAGAGTGTCCCAGGAGGAATGGACCAAACTTCGGGAGGGTGTTCCTTATGTTAAAGTATGCCGATATAACCCAAAACACCTATGTCCAAAGTTGAACGGTTACGGAGATAATGGCCCGAGAAAAGTGTGGTCTTCTTGCGAGTCCATGCACTGTACCTGTCAGCTGGCATGTCTTATCTAAGTTTGTCCTTTAGTGCAGTGATTCACCCTAGCCGTACTTATGTAGTTGGCTTATACCAGAATCTGCAGTCAGTCATGTTACGTCAGCGCTTGCCATTCATGTGTCATGTATAGTGCTTGGAAACCCTAAGGACAATTATGACATGGCGAGCGAGTATTTTGTACTTCAATTTTATGGCTTCATGTCACTCACAAGTTAGTTTGATGTTACGTATATTATTAACATTACAGAATCCACATATTCCTGCCAGTTCTAATATGTATTTTGTAATCAACAAGTGTGTAACACTGGTCAAAGTTTGACACTTCTCTGGCCATTATCTCCGTAACCGTTCAACTTTGGATATAGGTGTTTTGGGTTATATCGGCATACTTTAACATAAGGAACACCCTCCCGAAGTTTGGTCCATTCCTCCTGGGACACCCTGTATACATATGCATGCAATGATGAACTATAGTTGTCACATATTTAGATATAAATTGCACAGTAATATAATGAAATATACCTGAATAAACATATTTCTGACTATAAATCCTTACAATAAAGCAAAAATTCATCAACTGAATAAAAAGAATTATTGATTAATATTTCTTTTAGTTTTCCTAGGAAAAGTTTCCTGTCTTGTGCCAAATCTCTTACAGAGAGGCAAACTGTTGAAAATTTTACGACACATATAATAAACTGCTTTTTGCATTACTGTTAAATGTGACTGTAACACATGTAGATTCCCTCTATGTCTTGTGGTCTTATTATGGATTGCATCATTAGAAATAAAATACTCAAGATTACTTATCATAAAAATCATCAAAGATAATATATATTGGGATGCCAATGTTAATGTGTTTAGTTTTTTGAATACCGGCCTACATGTATCTCTTTGTTTCAATCCCGTCATCACCTTAACAGTTCTCTCCTGTAAGAGAAAAATCTTCTTAGCATCTGGTGAGTTACCCCCAGAAAACTATCCCATACCTCATGACTGAATGAAAATATGCGTGATATATCATCCTAAGTGTTTCAATTTCATGTATTTCAGTTAAATTTATGCTTCTCTGTGATTCTGGGTAACTATCATATATTAGATTTTCATATCATTGGAAATGTTTGTTAGCTGCCATCAGAAATATATATTAATAATCTGATAATTAAAGCTCTGAGTTTAATATGTTTACAACTGTTTACAACCAATGTGCAAGAACAGACCATAAAAAAATAAACCCTTCAGTTAAGATGAGTGAGCACAGTTAATATGACATTTCTGTGACTGAGATAATTTAACATGAATACTCTGAAATAAGTAGAGAAGTTCCACCCACATAAAAACAAGAATGACCTATAGACATTATAGAATTAAAAGTGATGTGCTATATACTCTATCCATGGTCATACTGGAACTGCTGATAAACTACCTTTTTTCCACAATCTTAACTGTATTCTGTACCTCTGTGTGCTTTATGAGTTCAATACACTCCACCACAATTGTTTTATCTCAATATTGCAATTTTACATTGTGCAAGTTATAAAATTGATCCATTCTTCTAAACTTATCTTACTGATCTACAATAGCAACTGCTTTATTTTGCTGCTGAGCAGTACTAGTGGTTATCATATGAGGGCTGTTCAAATGAAACACATCTGGGGATTGTTCTCAGTGAAGGAATAGAGCCAATTAAAATATTCCCCATGGATGGTGAGGCAGGCATTCCAGCAATGCACACAGCCAATGGATCCCCTCTCTAAAGAATTCCCAGGGCTGCTACTGTTATCACCGAACCACTGCTGCTTTCGTGTCCCTGCTACACCTGAATCTAGTGCTTTCTTGAGTGGGTCACACATGTGAATATGTTTCATTTGAAGATCCCCCATAAAAAATATTGTGTATCTGATTTCATCTTATGATGTTGTAAAAGCTGAAACATGTAGTGGCAAGTCATTTTATGATAAAACATACATAATTAATTTATTCTGAGTTAACAGTTCTTTATAATAATTCCCATAATTGACATACAGAATGTTATTACTTACTAACAGAAGTTCAGAAGGTCAAACTGATTATTTGTAACACTCCTGAAATTACACTGTACCTTGCAGATGCACCATGCCATAACATGATACAGTGTTTCTGAACCAAGGACTTTGATCTGTTAATAGGAAAATGCTCATGAATTGGCAAATAAGCTCTGAATTTTACCAACTAACTTTTGCACTCGACCACCAATTTCTTGTATTATAAAATCCAGAGTTTCAGCACTGACATCTGTCAGCCCAAGAAATCAATTTTAAAATCACCTTCAAGGAATATGGTCCCACAGAATTTACTTATCAAAATCCTGTATGCATTTATTTAATATATACATGCTAAAACATCTTAAACTTGCAGGAATAAGATGTGACTTCAAATACAACTTGTGTGCCGTAACGTAACACATACATCATTATTGCAACTACAAAGCCATGACAATTCTATTTGGTACTGCTATCTTCTGAAAAAATGTAACTGCATGCAAAGGTCTTACAAAAAAAGTTAGGATACAACACTACACAGCATTCAGGCCAGAAGTTCTTTAGGATATACCATGTAGGAAGAGAAGAGTAAATTGTGGAAAAGTTACATCAATGTCACAGCTTTGTCACATGTGCAAAACCTTATTATATCAGCAACTCACCGGACAAACACAGAATCCAATATACTGATTGTGGCACTCTTTGCAGGTACATATGAACCAATGTGTGCCATCACTGCAATAAGAGCCACTTGTCTTATATAGCAAGACTTGCCACCCATGTTTGGACCCGAGAGAATCATGCAACATTCTTCGGAACTCTGAAAATCAATAAATATCTTACACAAATCAGAATGTTAGAAACATAAACAACACAATTATGCATCTCACATTCTTCAATTAATCATTCTAATGTCACAATATATTCCACATTTGAGATTTGGCCCTATTTGTCACTTCTGGCATATTCCACAAGTGGATTCCTGGCTCTCAGCACAACGTACAATTTTGGAATCTGTCATTCATTTGCACAGTTCTTATTCTGGTTCCTGTGAATGATACTAGATGGGAGGACTGGCTATTAAAAAAAGTAAATAAATCCATTTCATCTGAAGACATGAGTAGAACTAAAGAATCTCAGTAAATTTTTGTAACATAGGAAAGGTTAAATCTAAAAGTGTTAAACTAATTTCTGACACTCTCCACTTCTAAATCTACAAAATATTTGGATGTGGCTTATTTACGTCAGCAGTAATCAACTGCTGGACATTACACCTTATTCAATGAAGCTGTCTTGCTTATTGGGACTTTAGCTTCAATGGCATACTTACTTACTTATGGAGCTGAGCCCTTCTTGAGAAGCCAAATCTGCAGCTACTCAAGAATTTCCCAGCATTTTATGGAACCTGAAGCTTCATTACCATGTTCACAAGAGCCCTCAACTGGTCCATATCCTGAGCCAGATCAATCCAATCCATCCCATCCTATCTAAGATCCATTTTAATATTGTCGACCCACCTATGCCTTGGTCTCCCCAGTGGTCTCTTTCCTTCTGTCTTTCCCACCAATATCCTATATGCATTCCTCTTCTCCCCCATACGGGCTACATGTCCTGCCCACCTCGTCCTCCTTGACTTGATCATTCTAATTATATAGCTTCAATGGCATAAAGATATAAAATAACAGAGTTATGGGGAAGCTCAAAGAAAATCTGCTCCAGTACACTTACAGCCACTGCAAATCCCACAGCGAACCGACGAATTTAATTTTCATTTACGTGGTAGAACTCTCATCTTACTGCAGTAAGGCAATATGTCTAGTCAAATACTGTTAATAACAGAGGAAAAGTATTAGTTTTGTATATTTCTGACTTTTTTTGCACTTCAGAATAAAATCTCTAATAATACTTTCATCATACTGCTGAACTAAGGATCAGAATGTGAAAAGGGTTCGAACATCACAATGAATGGTAGAGATAAAAGATACTTTCAATATAAAAATTTGTATACTTTCTAAAACACTGCCGTTTCCTATGAATTCAAAAACTTTGTCTGTTGTCATTATGCAGGGGGTTTTATTAATCCAGACATGAATTTCATATAATTTTTATATTTCACTTACAGATTTTGATGAAATTTAATACTGGCATTTCTTCAGACTGTGAAATCCAGTTCCAAAATGATACCCTCAAGCCACAGTAGCCATTTGACACTGTTATTTTTCTTGACAGCCAAAGTCAGGAATATTGCATCTCTGTTCACTGGTTCAAAAAATTCTTCAGATAAAGTCTGTAACTTTAAATAAAAATTGTTCCAGATTCATTTTACATTAAAGCAATCTTTTGGAAAATTATCATGAAAGACTAAAATGGCTCTTATGCTCCAGTGGCAATAATATAAAAAAGTATTTATTTCCTATTATAGAATGTGGGTACATATTCTCAGATTTCTGTATAAAAAATGGCAAAAAGTTCAGTCTGACAACATATAGCAAAGTACATGTTCAAGAACTTGGGTGTATGGACGTCTCTCATCTGATTACTGTTTTGAAGGTTATGGAATGAGTGTACAGGAAAAGTATACTCTAATTTATATGTATACTTTCAGTTCATTGAGACAAATACTGAACAGTATACTAAACAGGCTACAACATTTTCTTCCTGACTCTTTGTACAATTATAACCTCCTCCTGTTTACTCACATAGTTCTGGCAAGCCTCCCAGTAAAATTTTAAAGAAACTGAACTGAGAACATATCACTAACATTCTCTCTTCTTTATGAAGAATGTGGAATTGTTAATTCAATCAGTTTTAAAATACTTATCTGGGCAAGAATGTAAATCAAGCACAATAGCCACAACAGCCATACTCAAGCATAATTTTGCTCCTTGCTACTAATGTGTTATTACAAGAATCTGAATAATACAGCCATTTTTAAAAACTCACTAAACCATTTTATTCGACGATCTGAATGAATGATTTTAGCTCCATGATTATATATAAAATCTGATTAAAAATTACTGAGACTTAATCTATGAAAAATAATAATAAATAATAACAAGGATTGGAGGTTAATCCTCTTTAAAGTAGGCTCTTCCCAAATTTATGCACTTGTTTCATCAATCCTGTCAATGCTGGAAGCATTTGTCAGATTAGCTTTTTTAAACTCCCAATGGCTACACCATTGTATTTAACTGGTCTCACATCCTCAAATATTTTCAAGAAATCACATGGTTTGGGGAGGGAGAAGAGACAGAGTCAAATTTGGTGGAACAATATATTTAGTTAAAAACTGTTGTACAAGCTGAGTTGAAGAGGCAGGTGCATTTCATAATGAATCTGCCGGTTATCAAATGTACATTTTTGCAAGCATCTACATGCGCTGCATAACAGAATGTCTGACTACTTTAACCCTTTCGCGCGGTGATTTAATTTCCGCAGCCGTGTCTCTCCGGCGGTGATATATTCCGCCGGCT